ACTCATGCACTAAGAATTCTCCAGTTTGATTCCTTGTCAGGGCACATGCCCAGGTTGTGGGCCCGATCCCCAGTGGGGGGCATGCAGGAGGCAGCCAGTGTTCTCTCTCATTGATGTTTCTATCTCTTCCTCTCCCTTCCTCTCTCTCTAAAAATCAATAAAGAAAAAAAAAATTAAAAAAAAAAAAGAGCCCAGAAATAATCTGCCTTTATGGTCAACTAATATTTGACAAAGGAGAGGAAAACATACAGTGGAGGAAAGATAGTCTATTCAATAAATGGTGTTGGGAAAATTGGACAGATAAGTGCAAACAAATAAAACTAGACCACCTTCTTATACCATACACAAGAATAAACTGAAAATTGATTAAAGACTGAAATATTATATTTGAAACCATAAAAATCCTGGAAGAAACCATAGGCAGTAAAATCTTGGACATTTCAATAGCATATTTGAATATTTGCAATATTTTGTAAATATTGTAAATATCTTGTAGCAATATTTTTTCTGATATACGTATTGCCTTGGGCAAGGGAAACAAAAGAAAAAAACAAACAAATGGGACTATATCAAACTATAAAAGTTTTTGCACAGCAAAGAATACCATCAACAAAATAAAAAGACAATCAACTGCCCTGGCTGGTTTGGCTCAGCGATTGGAGCCTCAGCCTTCAGTCCAGAGAGTCCCGGGTTCGGTTCCCGTTAAGGGCCCGTGCCTCAGCTGCAGTTTGTCCTCAGCCCTGGTTGGGGTCGTGGGTGGTGACCGGTCAATGTGTCTCTCTCACATCGATGTTTCTCTCTCTCTTCCTCCCTTTCTCCCTTCCACTCTATCTGAAAATGAATGCAGAAATGTCCTTGGGTGAGGATAAAAATGAAATGAAATGAAATGAAATTAAATTAAATTAAATTAAAAGACAACCAACTGAATGGGAAAACATATTTACCAATGATACATCTGATAAGGGCTTAATATACAAAATTTATAAAGAACTTTATGTCCGGTCGGTGTGGCTCAGTGGTTGAACATCAACCCATGCACCAAGAGGTCGCAGGTTTGATTCCCAGTCAGGACACATGCCCACATCGTGGGCCTGATCCCCAGTGGGGGACATGCAGGAGGCAGCCAGTCAATGTTCTCTCCCATCAATGTTTCTATCTCTCTCTCTCCCTCTCCCTTCTTCTCTCTCTAAAATTAATAAAGGAAAAACAATTAAAAAAAAAATGAACTTATGCCCTGGCCGGTTTTGCTCAGCGGTTAGAGCGTCGGCCTGCGGTCTGGAGAGACCCGGGTTCGGTTCCCGCTAAGGGCATGTGCCTCGGTTGCAGTTTGTCCCCGGCCCTGGTTGGTCGTGCGGGTGGCGGCCACTCGATGTGTCCTTTTCACATCGATGTTTCTCTCTCCCTCTCTCTCTCCCTCCTGCTCTATCTGAACAAAGAATGAAAAAGTATCCTCGGGTGAGGATAAAAAAAAAAAGAACTTATAAAACTCAATATGGAAAAAAAAATACCCACAGAGAATCCAATTTAAAAATGGGCAAAGGCCCTGGTCAGTGGGGCTCAGTTGGTTAGGTGTTCACTTGTGCAGCAAAAAATCTCGGGTTTGATTCCTGGTTAGCTCACATGCTTGGGTTTTGGGTTTGATCCTGGTAGGGGTGTGTGCAGGAGGCAGCCGATTGATGTTTTGCTCTCACATTGATATCTTTCTCTCTCTCTTCCCTCTTTCTTCCCCTCTCTCTCAAAATCAATTTTTAAAAATGTAAAATTAAAAAAAGGCAAAGGACCTGAATAGACACTTCTACAAAAAGGACATACAGATGGCCAATAGACGTAGGAAAAGATGCTTGATGTCACTAATCATCAAAGAAATGTAAATTAAAACCCTAATGAGATATTACCTTGCACCCGTCAGAATGCAATCATCAATAAATCAACAAACAACAAGTGTTAGCGAGGATGTGTAGGAAAGAGAATGCTGTGCACTGTTGGTGGGAATGCAGATTGGTGCAGCCACTGTGGAAAGCAGTATGGAGTTACCTCAAAAAATTAAAAATGAAACTGTTTTGCCCAGGTGTGGTTCAGTGGTTGAGCGTCGACCCATGCACCATGAGGTCACCAGTTCGATTCCTGGTCAGGGAACATGCCTGGGCTGTGGGCCAAATTCACAGTGGGGGGCATGCAGGAGGCAGCCAATTGATGTTCTCTCTCATCAATGTTTCTATCTCTCTCTCCCTCTTCCTTCCTCTCTCTCTAAATCAATAAAGAAAAAAAAAATTTTTTTTATCCTCACCCGAGGACACTTTTTTGTTTTTTGTTCGGATAGAGTAGGAGGGAGAGAGAGAGAAACATCGACGTGAAAGGGACACATTGAGTGGTTGCCACCCACACAACCCAACCAGGGGCGGGGACAAAGTGCAACTGAGGTACATGCCCTTAGTGGGAACCGAACCCGGGTCTCTCTGGACCGCAGGCCGACGCTCTAACCGCTGAGCCAAACCGGCCAGGGCGAAAAAAATTTTTTTTAAATGGAACTGCCTTATGACCCAGTGATTCCACTTCTGGGAATATATCTGAAGAAACCCAAGACACTAACTCAGAAGAATATATGCACTCCTATGTTCGTAGCAGTGCTATTTACAATAGCCAAGAATTGGAAGCAGCCCAAGTGCCCAAGAGTAGATGAGTGGATAAAAAAGCTGTGGTACATTTACACGATGGAATACTACTCTGCTGTAAAAAAGAAGAAAATCGCCCTGGCCGGTTTGGCTCAGCGGTTAGAGCATCGGCCTGCGGTCCAGAGAGACCCGGGTTCGGTTCCCACTAAGGGCATGTACCTCGGTTGCAGTTTGTCCCCGGCTCTGGTTGGTCGTGCGGGTGGCAGCCACTCGATGTGTCCCTTTAACGTCGATGTTTCTCTCTCTTTCTCTTCCTCTCCCTCCCACTCTATCTGTACAAAAAATGGAAAAGTGTCCTTGGGTGAGGATAAAAAATAAATAAATAAATAAATAAATAAATAAATAAATAAATAAAAATAAAAAAGAAGAAAATCTTACCCTTTGTGACAGCATGGATGGACCTGGAGAATATTATGCTAAGTAAAATAAACCAGTCAGAGAAAGACAAATACCATATGATTTCACTCATGTGTGGAATCTGATGAACAAAATAAACCAATGAGTGAAATAGAAACAGACTCTTTGATAGACAACAGATTGGCAGCTATCAGAGGGGAGAGGGGTTGCGAGGCTGGGTGGAAAATACCCAGCAAAATACACAGGCGTCCAGAGACCTGTGGAAGAGTGACTTTCAACTAATACACTGCTGGAGGGAATGTAAAATGGTGCAAACACTTTGAAAACAGTTTGGCATTTTCCTAAAAAGGTAAACAAGGAGCTCTCCCTCTCAGGAGCACACCCGTGCCTTTCTCCTCTCCCTCTTCTTCTCTCCAGGTGCATTACCTTTGCCTTTCTCTCTCCTAAGCTCCAAGGGCCATTTTATTTTATTTTTTTTAGCAAGAGAATTTGAATGCACATGAAAGCAGATTGTGGCAGGTAGTAGAGAGATTGGTGGGAAGGTACAGAACAGAACATAGATGTAGCAGGACTGTCAGTTCCAAGCACCTAAAAAAGGAGGGGTGGGGGGAGGGGGGTCCATGAAGTAAGGGAACAGATAGCCTGTGTTATGTAAGAGGAATAAAAGAGATTAATTAGCCTCAGCTTGGGTTCTTGGCGAATGACTCACGCAGAAAGTGATGTTTGAATTCCAGATAAGGAGCTAGCAGGTAGGTGGTGGGAAGGCAATGGCGAGCTGGCGGTGCAGGAAATGGAGCACCAGGACCTGAGGTCATCCTGCCAAGAGTGTGGACATGCATTTCCAGGGACAGGGTAGCATGCGGTGTTCTGGAACAGGGGGGGAACAAGATCATGGTTGAACCTCAGGGAGGTTAGTGACAGCTTAGGCAAGACAGAGGCAAGGTAGAGAGAAGCCCTTGTGGAATCCAAAGTGTGAAAGAATGAAGCTAGAAATTGCTGGCAAATCTGAAATAATATAATTGAGAAAAAATGATCATTGGAAAAAAAGAAAGAAAGAAATTGCTGGCAAATCTGAATTGAGCTGCAGAAAGTAAATTCCCTCCAGCTGTGCCCTGGGGCTGTCAGAGGTCTCAAGTGTTGGGACCGGGTGCAGCTCTGCCCCCTTCAGATCCTGCCTGCAGGGTGAGGCTGGAGGCTCAGTCACACAGTCACCCCCTGTTTGGGCCACCAGAGGCTGCCAGTGGCCGGATAGAGGTGGTTTCTCGGACCTAAGAAAGTGTCCCCTGCCCCGCCAGTGGGATTTGTGAGAATGGATATGATACGGAGTAAGGCACAGGGTGCAGCATACCACTCTCCCCAACACACACACACCCTGAAAAGACCAGAAAGGTCCCAGGGGTGTCAAATGCAAAATATAAAAGATTTCCCACCGCCACCCCATTTCTGGGGACTCTGGCTGCAGAGAGCAATGACAGATTTTGAAGGGGGAAGGTGTCTATCTGGGGTCAAGCAGGGGGCACCTCAGGCTTGGAAGAGATTGGTGGGCAAAATCTCTTACCCTCATTTTCTGTCCTCCCCCCCTCCTATTTCTGTCTCCGACTACGAGAGGGGTATCTGACGTAGATTTTGACACCTTGGTTTGGAGTAGCTGCTTCCTTCTTAGGAATCCCAGCAGCCCCCCTTCTTTTTCCTTGGTGTTGCAGATGACCCCTCTACTGACCCCCAGACTCCTCAGGGTCCCAGGCACCCCTCTCCTCAAAGCTCTCACCCCCCGTAGGTCCCCCTATCCTGCCTGTTTCTTGATAGCTATGGATTTTTATCCTGTCTCCTGTTTACTTACTTCATTTTCCTGGTTGACTTTGGGTCCCAGTCAACTCTGAGCCTTTATCTCTCTCCCTCTGGGAGCCTGCCCTGGGTGGGAGGTGTCGGGGCCCCCACCCAACCTGGGTGCACAGAGGCCCAGGCCTTGGTGATAAGAGAGGAGGAGTCCTGAGGGCAGCAGCTGCTGGGTGTTGTGGGTGAGGACACCCAGGCTTTGCAGCTGCTGTTTCCAGAGGAGACTCCCCAGCAAACAGTGGGTCCCAGGTCAGGAGGAGAGAAGCAGGGTGTGGGTCAGGCCAGCCCCACAAGGAACAGACTCCATCTGAGGAAGCCCACACCACCTCGCGGTGGTCTCTTTTCCCATCCCAGGCAGGTTCTGGGTGATGGGGTGTGTGTGTGTGTGTGTGTGTGTGTGTGTGTGCACAGAGTCACCCAAAATCTGTTCAGCCAGTTCCTCTTCAGGGCCAGGAAGTGGAACCTGATGTCTGCGTGGAGCCAGGAAGCAGAGGCCTCCATCTTCCAGTTCCAGCTCCCAGTTCCCACACAGAGGAGCCTGCCTCCTACCTGCAGTCCTTGAGAAATAACAGAGTGCCCTCTGAGAGATAAATAAACCCAGTGAGGTTCTTTTGATGTTCCCATTTCACAGCCCAGGTCCTCAGGAGGCCCTACTGGACTGGGGGTGGAGGCATTGTGTCTCACTCTATGATTGAGTGCTCAGACACCTTCCCCATCACAGACAGTCCCACCCACTGCAGTGGTTCCTGGAAACAGGATGTGGGTGGCTGGGGACCAGGGATCAGCTAACAGGGACTGGGGAGCAGCCAGGACCCGGATACAGGTCCTTTGCTATTGTTTCTGGCAGGAGCCAAAGGAAAAAATCTGCAGGCAGCTTCTAGTTAGCAAACAAGATCAGATACCATCTTCCGCCCAGCTCCCAACCCCCAGGGGCCCCAGGGTCTGAGCACCCTGCTCCCCAGCTGTTCTCCTCATCACTACCACCCTTCCAAGACTGAAGTTCCCAGCAGGCTCCCAGGGCACAGCCACCAGCTGTTCTTATCCCCTCAGGACCCTGGCCTCCAGGCTTGTCCTCCACCCCTCTCAGGCCTTCAGAGTGCCCACTCCACCTGGCCCTGAAATCAGGAGCCTCCTCCGGGAAGTTGGAACCATCTGCCTGGCAGGTGGCCCAGGGTGTGGCCTAAGGAGCCAAGAAACTCCATTATATAGCCCAGCCCAGGGCTAACCCTGAAGCTCCGGGGACCTGCAGGTGAGAGAGGCTGGGTCCCCTCTGGAAGGGGGACATTGGGTCTCCTACTCTTTTTTTTTTTAATCCTCACCCGAGGACATTTTTCCTTTTTTGTTCAGGTAGAGTGGGAGGGAGAGACAGGAAGAGAGAGAGAGAGAGAGAGAGAGAGAGAGAGAGAGAGAGAAACACCGATGTGAAAGGGACACATCAAGTGGCTGCCACCCGCAGGACCAACCAGGGCCGGGGACAAACTGCAACCGAGGTACGTGCCCTTAGCGGGAACCGAACCCGGGCCTCTCGGGACCGCAGGTTGATGCTCTAACCGCTGAGCCAAACCGGCCAGGGCAGGGTCTCCTACTCTTGCACCTGACTTCAGGCCTCTCCCAACCCACTGAACATCCACCTTCCTACCCTTGTCCCTGTCCTGCTCTCCCCACCCCATCCTCACCCGAGCCACTTGACATCCAGCTATCCTGTCCATGCATACACTGGTCCTCGGATCCAGCTCACCTCAGCCCTCCTGCTGCCCAGTTGTCCTGTCCTGAGACTGGGCCCTTTTCTCCTCTCTGGGACAGTCTCCAGCAGGAGGGGCAGACCAGCCTCCTAAGACCCCCTTTCTTTTTATACTATAGACATGGGTTCCCTGTGGAGCTGGTGGACACTCTGGGCCGGAGCAACCCTCCTGTGGGGTAAGTAAGACCAAGATCCTATCCCTGTCCTTGTTCCAGTCTGGAAACTCTGCCTGCCTGGGCCGGCAACCTCCACCTGTGTCCCCTCCACACCCCAGGCTAGCTGCAGCAGGAGAGAGGCCCCTCAGGCTCTGCAGAGAATGTAGTGGAATTCAGGTGAACACCTTAGTCCCCAAATTCACAATGCAAGAACTGCCACTCCCTTGATTTTCTGCAGCTCAGCCAAAGTTCAGACCCTAACCCTCATTATACTGAGTTCATAGAAACTTTTACTAAAGTCATTCTTGGGGGATTTGGTGCCCAATTCTCCAGGGTCATGTCCAGGACTAGAGTATTAAGTAAAGCAAAAGGAGTGGGGGAAGGATGGGACACCTGATCCCTTGGCCCTGAAGGACATTAGGGTACCCTTCAAGGCTCCCCTTGTTCAGCAGACACTCCTTCTGTTACTCCCACACTCTCCCCAAGACCCTCATAGTCCTCTCTCTCCCTCACCCCCTTCCTCTCCTTTGCCCGCTTCCTCTCTCTTATAGAGAATCTCATTGCATTTGGGGGTATTGACAAGTACCAGCTGCTCTCTATTTCTTGGAAATGTTTTGTCCACACTCCCATAATTCCTTTCTTCCCTTTACCCACTTCACACACACACACACACACACACACACACACACACACACACCCCAGTTCTATTAAGGCAAAAATCATAGCCCTGTCTGGTGTAGCTCAGTGTTAGAGCATCGGCCTGTGCACCAAAAGGTCATGGGTTCGATTCCCGATCAAGGACATGTACCTGGGCTGCAGGTTCAATCCCCAGCCCCAGTTGGGGTGTATACAGGAGGCAACCAATTGATGTATCTCTGTCTCTGTCTCCCCCCCCCCCCCCAATCCCTCCTTCCCTTCCACTCTCTCTACAAATTAATGGAAAGAATATTCTGGGGTGAGAATTAACAACAACAACAAAGACAGAAATCACAAACTGGCAACAGAATCCAGCCACTTTGGGCCTCACAGTGCTTAAAACAATTTGGGGTTGGAGATTTTTCTTTTAAATCCTTACCCGAGGACATTCTTCCATTTATCTTCAGATAGAGAGGAAGGGAGGGAGGGAGAGAGGGAAGAAAAGAGAGAGAGAAAAACATCGATGTGAGAGATGTGAGAGAGACACATCGATTGGTTGCCTCCTGCATGACCCCAGACAAGGCCAGGGACAAACCAAGGTACGTGCCCCTGCCTGGAATTGAACCCATGACTCTTTGGTCCATGGGCTGATGGTCTAACTGCTGAGCCAAACCGGCCAGGGCTGGGTTGGAGATTTCATATGGAATTTCAGACAGCCAGTTTGTTGCAAAAAATGATAAGATCTGGCATAAAAGAGAAAAAAAGCTCCCATAAGCCATCAAAATAACAACAGGCTAAAGCTAGTAGCAACATCCCACTTTTGATGGCATATGAACGTTGCATAATTACCACCCGAACATATTTACATTACTTGCCCGGTCCCAGGCAGCATTTGAACTTGAGATCTCTTGTCCAAACATTCCGGCTTTTGGAAGACAAAGCCAGAGAGGCGGGTGGGTAGGTGAAGGCTGCATGAAAAAGGAGAAAGGAAAGAGAAAAGGGGGGAAAGCCCAAGTTAATATTTAACACGTTATCCAGGCACAGGGCAAGGGGTTACTTCTCTGATGAATGAGTGAACCCACAAGTACATTTTCTCACCCCAGGGTTGACCCAGGAGGCCTCAGCAAACCTCAGAGACGCCGGAGGGCAGAAATTCATCACAGCCTTCCTACAGAACTACCAGCCTGGGTACGTCAAGGGCCATCTCTCCCTGGCCCTCACCAGTCTGTCACACAAGACCTCCGCAGTCACCATCTTCAGCGGGGCAGACGGCCACACGCAGAGAATCTCGGTGAAGCCTGGGGAGTCGGTGATAGCCCACATTAATGCCCAAGCTGAGTTGATCGGCAGCAACGTCTTACAGCATACGGTGTTTATCAGCTCTCAGTACAACATCTCCGTGCAGTCCCTAAACACTCGGCCCAACACGGGGGAGATGACGCTGCTGTGGCCTGTCAGTGCCCTGGGAACGGAGTACTTTGTGTTCACGCCCCCTAGCACCTCGTCCAAGAATGTCAAGGAGTTTGCTGTGGTGGCTGGTGAAGAAACTGTCTCGATCAATATACATCTGAAGGGAACAGTGACATTCAAGGGCAAGTTCTACCCAGCAGGCGATGTCCTTACTATAACTCTGCAGTCCGGCCAGGCGGCCCAGATACAGAGCACAGCTGATCTCTCAGGGTCCAAGGTCACAGCCAGTAGCCCCGTGGCTCTCCTCTCCGGCCACAGCTGTGCCCAGAAACACACAAGCTGCAACCACGTGATGGAGCAGCTGTTACCCACATCTGCCTGGGGCACCCGTTACGTGGTGCCCCCTCTGGCCTCCCAGACCCGCTACGATATGCTCTTCGTTGTGGCCAGCAAAACCACGAAACTCACCTACTACCATGGGAGCATCAACAGCACCAGGGGGCTCCAGGAGGGTGAGGTGGTTAAGTTTGAGATCCGGCAATCCAAGCCACTCTACCTGTCTTCAGATGTGGGCATCCAAGTCCTGCTGTTTGGCACAGGTGGCAAAAGGGACAGTGTGACCTATGACCCCTACCTGGTCCTGATGCCAGATGTGAAGGCCTACTGCTCTGCCTATGTGGTCAATAAAGTCAAAGACTTTCAGAGTGTGGCCCTGCTGGTGGCACAGACGAAGTCTATTGAAGAGCTGACATTGAATGGGCACAGGATGGGGAAAAGTCTCACCTGGGTAACAATAGCAGGCACTGAGTTCTCGTATACCGAAATAGAACTCAACAACAATAACACGATGCACTTAACCATGGACACTACCAACTTCGGGCTGATCACCTTCTGGCTGAGCGAGTCTGAGGGCTACGGGACAGCAGGGACCTGCAGCCAGAGTGAGTGATGGGAAATGACACCCTGTCCACCCGGTGTCCCCTTTGTGGCTCTCTTGTCTTTTCTCTTTTCTTACCCACCTGCTCCTCTGTGGCTCCCTGGCTCCCTGGGCTGTTCCCTTACCACCTGCATCTGCTCTGCCATCCTTCCATTCCTTAAGGCTTTCCAGCCCCTTCCTCCCCTCCACCCCAAGGAACAATACTCTAAATGTTCAGTGACAGGTGTGACCCAGGATCCCAACCAGTCAGAGGAGATACCAGAGTAGGAAGCAAGGTCCTAGAAGCCCCTGTGGTATCTGGCATCAGCTCTTTGTTACTTTTGGAGAGACGCTAGGGAAGGGATCCTAGGGGAGAGCCAATGTGCAGAGAGGGAGGGACCTTGGGGGGTGGGGGGGCAGGGGAAGGTCAGCAGCTTTTTACCGATTTGTTTATAAATATTTTGATATTTTAGCAACCGACACACAACTATAGCAGTTGCTAACTGTCATGCTCTCGCACCTGAAATTGAAATTATTTTTAATTTTTTTTCTTTATTGATTTTTAGAGAGGAAAGGAGAGGGAGCAAGAGATAGAAACATCCATGAGAGACAACATCAATTGGCCGCCTCCTGCATGCCCCCCACTGGGAATCGGGCCCACAACCTGGGCATGTGCCCTGACCAGGAATCGAACCAGCAACCTCTTGGTGCATGGGTCGATGCTCAATCACTAAGCCACACTGGCCGGGCTGATATTGGAATATTTATGCCCAAACTCAGGAGGTCTAAAAGTATAATAATAATGATGCCTACCATGCTGGGGGAGCTATCTCTCAATATGCCAGGGACCATTCTCACACACATTAAAGTAGTTCATCTCTAGGACCTGGCCCTTTGTGTAACCCTAGGCTGGTACAATGTGAAGCTGCTTCTAGGCAGTGCAGCACTTGAGGGGACAGATGGGAGAGCCAGACTTCTGGGGTTCAAATCCCACTTCTGCTTGTGTGGCCTGAGCATGTGACTTCACCTCTGTGGGCCTCGGTTTCTACTTTTATAAAATGGGAATAATAACTGCACCCCCTTTAGAGGTGTCGTGAGTAAACATTTGTACAGCACTTGGGGTACCTGGCAAGTGGGTAGGGTTACGAAAGGGTGGGCTGCTATTACAAGCAGACAGAAGGCAAGAGCCCCTGAAGATTAGGACGCAGAGGAGAAGAAAATGTTCCTCCTTATTAGCACCCCTGGCCCCCTCAAGCTAGGACTTCAGACACTAGAGTTCCTAGCACTGCCTCCCCACCCCCACACCATGGCATAAATGCCACTCAACTTCATAGGGCCTCTTTGGTCTTCAGTAAGAGAATGGGGAAGGGGTTGGTGATTAATTATAACACCTGGAGCAGTTCCAAACCCTACTCATATTTTAGCTTATTTACACCTGGCAGCACCCCTTCCCCAAATATCCCTGCGAAGAAGGTATCATTGTCACCGCTATGTTACCAATGAGGAAGGCGAGGCACAGAGAATTTAATATTCCTTGTCCAGTATCACACAACTAATTGGTTGAGCCAGGGTTCTGATCTGGGCAGTCTGACTCCACCATCATTTCCATTCTGTTGAACAGTCCCTGTCTTCCACCTTCTGTCCTTGAAAAAGATGCCTTAGCATTTTGACCTGCGTAAGAAGGTAGGGGAGAGTGGGAAACAGGGAGAGGAAATGAACAAATTAAGTTCATTGTGAGCTGTGTTCAACCTGGGCTCCGGTCAGGCCTGAGCAACTCTCTCCCTGTGCGATTCCAGACCTCCGTGTCCCCACTTCTAAAATAGGTAGTTGTGCCCTGGCCGGTTTGGCTCAGCGGTTAGAGCGTCAGCCTGCGGTCCGGAGAGACCCGGGTTCGGTTCCCGCTAAGGGCATGTACCTTGGCTGCAGTTTGTCCCCGGCCCTGGTTGGTCGTGTGGGTGGCGGCCACTTGATGTGTCCCTTTCACATCGATGTTTCTCTCTCTTCCTCTCTCTCCTTCCCGCTCTATCTGAGTAAAAAATGGAAAAATGTCCTCGGGTGAGGATAAAAAACAACAACATTAAAATAGGTAGTTGTGAGCAAACGGCCCAAGCTTCCTGCAGCTGGATTGCTAGCCACGTGGACACTTCCTGACGGCTTCTCTCTCTCAACCCCTCTTCCCTCCCCAGTCGGACTGCCTGCGGAACAGCCCTCCTGCAAAGATGTGCATTGTGCTCCCTCAAAGTATTGCCAGATGGTGGATGGGGAGGCCAGGTGTGTGTCAGGTACTGTGGCCACCTGCCGAGCCCAGGGTGACCCCCATTACACTACCTTCGATGGCCGTCGCTACGACATGATGGGCACCTGCTCATACACGATGGCAGAGCTGAACAGCGAGGACCAGAGCCTGCCAGCCTTCACCGTGGAGGCCAAGAACGAGCACCGGGGCAACCGCCACGTCTCTTATGTGGGCTTTGTCTCCGTGATCGCCTACAGCCACACGGTGTCACTGGCCCGTGGAGAATTTGGCTACGCCAGGGTAAGTGTCCAGTCTTCAGGGTTAAAACAGCCATCAGTTAGAGGGAGGAGGCAAAGCCTGGGTGTCAGGCCTCCCAATCCGAGCCCATTGCCATGAGTGAAGGCGCAATAAGCGGGCCCAGGGAGTGGTGGCTGGGAAGGAGGGACTTGAAAATCTATGACAGAAACTTAAACCCCTGTGGTCCAGCAATTGTACTTCTAAAAATTTTACATTTTTTTTTTTTTCCATTTTTTTTTTTTTACAGATAGACTGGGAGGGAGAGAGAGGAAGAGAGAGAGAGAGAAACATCGACGTGAAAGGGACACATCGAGTGGCTGCCACCCGCACGACCAACCAGGGCCGGGGACAAACTGCAACCGAAGTACGCGCCCTTAGCGGGAACCGAACCCGGGTCTCTCCGGACTGCAGGCTGACGCTCTAACCGCTGAGCCAAACCGGCCAGGGCTACTTCTAAAAATTTTAAAGATGCTCAGAGATATGGTTAGAAGAAAAAATTTATGCCAGTGTGGTTTGTAATAACAAATAATAACAATAATAATAAATAAATAGCCCTGGCCGGTTTGGCTCAGCGGTTAGAGCGTCGACCTGCAGTCCTGAGAGACCCGGGTTCGGTTCCCGCTAAGGGCATGTACCTCGGTTGCAGTTTGTCCCTGGCCCTGGTCGGTCGTGCGGGTGGCAGCCACTCGATGTGTTCCTTTCACATCGATGTTTCTCTCTCTCTCTGTTCCTTTCTCTCCCTCCCACTCTACCTGAACAAAAAAATGGGAAAATGTCCTCGGGTAAGGATAAAAAAATAAAATTAAAATAATAAATAAATAAAAGGAAGGAAAAAAGAAAGAAAACAAAATGTCCAAAAATGGGGAATTTCTTAAATGACCAAGCACTAATTTTTTTTTAATCCTCATCCGAGGATATTTTTACATTTATCTTCAGACAGAGTGGGAGGGAGGGAGGGAGAGAGAGAGAGAGAGAGAGATGTGAGAGAGACACATCAATTGGTTGCCACCTGTACAACCCCAACTGTAGCCAGGGACGAAATGAGCACGAACCGTAACCGAGGTACGTGCCCTTGGCCGGAATCGAACCCAGGACTCTTTGGTCCGCAGGCCGACTCTCTAACCACTTGGCCAAACCAGCCAGGGCCCAAACATTAAATTTGTGCCAGATTTGTTTCATAGTATTTTCCAGGTATTAATGCACTTATTGTTCACAGCAATTTGTGGGGTAGGCATTATTATTATTATTATTATTAACACTTTTAGATGAGGAAACTGAAGTCCAGAGAGATGAGTGACTTCTGACGGCCTTAGAGCTATAGGAGGTGGAGCTGGGAACATAGGCAGGCTGCTCTGAGTCCCTATTCTTTTTTTTTCTTTTTATCCTCACCCGAGGACATTTTTCGATATTTTGTTCAGATAGAGTGAGTGGGAGGGAGAGAGAGAGAGAGAAACATCGACGTGAAAGGGACACATTGAGTGGTTGCCACCATTCGGGGACAAACTGCAACCGAGGTACATGCCCTTAGCGGGAACCGAACCCAGGTCTCTCTGGACCACAGGCCGACGCTCTAACCACTGAGCCAAACCGGCCAGGGCTTGAGTCCCTATTCTTAACCTCCAGGTCCTTCTGCCTCTGGTAAATGGGTCACTACTCAGTTCGTACAATAACAGCCTAGAGCAATTATTCCTTTTCCCCTACCATGTTATTTTTAAAACGTTCAAATATCTGATAAGTTAAAATCACTGTGCAGGGAACACTCCTACACCAGTCACCTGGATTCTAGACATTTCACTCTTCCTGGTTTATCACACATGTATCATCTGCCCTGCAGCAATCCATCTTTTTTTTTTTTCTTTATTGATTTTAGAGAGAAGGAGGGAGAGAAAGATAGAAATATCGATGAGAGAGAACATGGATTGGCCGCCTCCTGCATGCCCCCTCCTGGGAATTTGGCCCACAACTGGGCATGTGCCCTGATCAGGAATCGAACCAGCGACCTCTTGGTCAACCACTGAGCCACATTGGCTGGACTGGTCTCATTATTTTTTAAAAGTATAAATGTATTTAAAGGTAGAAGACAAAAATATGGCAGAATGAGTGTGTGTGTGTGTGTGTGTGTGTGTCTACAACACTATAGGTGATTTGTCTTTTCTGTTTTGCTCCTACATTTTGTACGTTCTCTGTAATGAACAAATTGTATCATTTACTTGTATCATTTAAAAATGGAGATCACTACTCTTGCAGAGCAATAATTTAAACAGTGCTCCCTGGACTGAGAGCCTGTGAGTGTGGGGCCCCAGGCTGGCTGTCATACCTGTGTCCACAGCACTGCCTGGCACAGACCCAGATACACAGGTGGGCTCTTGGAGGCCTTGCTGACTGACTGATTGACTGACCAATTTATCATACCTTCAGACCACCACTCATGCTGTTCCTTCTGCCTGTGACTCAATTTTTATACCCCATCCTCTTGACTAAGACAAGAATATGTGGAGAAGCCCTGGCCGGTTTGGCTCAGCGGTTAGAGCATCGGCCTGCGGTCTTGAGAGACCCGGGTTCGGTTCCCGCTAGGGGCGCGGACCTCGGTTGCAGTTTGTCCCCGGCCCTGGTCGGTGGTGCGGGTGGCAGCCACTCGATGTGTTCCTTTCACATCGATGTTTCTCTCTCTCTTTCTGTTCCTCTCTCTCCCTCCCACTCTACCTGAACAAAAAGTGGAAAAATGTCCTCAGGTGAGGATAAAACAAACAAACAAACAAACAAAGAATATGTGGAGAAAGAATAAGAAAGAGATGCTCAAAATGAGGAAATGGTTCCGGGGGACCGAGAGACACACTCCTTATCTTCTGGCTAGACTCTCTCCACTAGGATATTTGCAAAGAAATACCCTTTCTTATCCCTATTTTTGTTGGTCTCTCTTACAAATATTGTACAGCTCAGCTCAACTATCACTTCCTCCCAGAAGCCTCCCCTGACCTGCAAGTTTGGGTCTGGCTCCTTTTCTAGGCTCCTGCGGCCTCCTGTGCCTCCACTACCCCGGCCCTGCCCATTCTGACCTGTCTAGTGACAGGTCTGTCCCCACTATTGGAGTGGAAACCCCATGAGAATAGGGTTCGGGTTGTCTTGGTCATCGCTAGATCTCCATGATCTCCCAGCCCAGGCCAGGCAGAGGGAGTGCCCAGTGAGTGTTTATTGAACACAGCAGTGCCTTCATTCCCTCGCTGAGCACCTGCTGTTCTGCCAGGCACTGTTCCAGGCACTGGGGATGAAGCAAGGGTCAAAGCAGACAAGAAGCCCTGTCTTTGTGGATCCCTGACAGTCTATGGACGATATGTGCAAATGATATATTAGAAGGTTAGAAGCTACAGGAACAAAATAGAGCAGGAAAAGGGAGTAGGGCGTGGGGAAGAGTTGCCATATAAAATAGGGTGCTCAGGAATGGCCTCGCTGAGATGCAAACCATGTGTGCAACTAGAGGAAGAACAGTTTAGGCTGTGGGGATAGCAGCAGCAAAGATCCTGAGGCAGTAACCGGTGGGACAGATCCCACTGCAGCTAGAGTGGGAGGAGAGGAGGGGTGAAGGCGGGACCATGCGGGGTCTGACCACTCCCCCCTGTCCTCACCCCTCTGCAGATCAATAACCAGCGCTCTAGCCTGCCTGCTTCCCTGGACCAGGATCACCTGCGTGTGTATCAGAGTGGGATGCAGGCCATAGTGGAGCTGGACTTCGGGCTGGTGGTCACCTATGACTGGGACAACCAGCTGACACTGACCCTGCCCGAACGTTTCCGAGGTCAGGTGTATGGACTGTGTGGCAACTATAACGGCAATGCCACCGATGACTTCCTCACACCTGATGGGGAGCAGGCTCCTAACGTTGTGGAGTTTGCCGAGAGCTGGAAGCTGGATGACGGTGACTACCTGTGTGACAACGGCTGCCAGGACAACTGTCCCTCCTGCACCCCAGGCCAAGCCAAGCACTATGAGGGTGACCATCTCTGTGGCATGCTGACCAACCCCAATGGCCCCTTTGCTGCCTGCCATAATAACTTGGACCCCAAACCCTTCCTGAAGGAGTGTGTATATGACCTGTGTGTGCTCAATGGGGACCGGTCCAGCCTGTGCCGTGGCCTCAGCGCCTACGCCCAAGCCTGTCAGGAGCGTGGCATTTCTATCAAAGACTGGAGGTCACCAGCCAACTGCCGTGAGTGAGGCCCTGGTGGGGGCTGGGAGCACATGGAGGGAGGCAGGGGACCCCTAACATCTGCTCAACATCTGAACACAGTGTGGTTCAGCCTGTGGCTGGATCATGTCGGGGACATGGAGATGGCCAAGATGGCCAGGCTGTGTCCACAGTGAGCCTAAGGTTGGGGCAAACACATCACTTGGCAGTGACAGTCCAGAGTGGTCACGGCTGGGTTGGGAGAGGCTCAAGCAGAGTGGTCAGGGCCAGGATGGGGCTATGGGATACTAGAGAAGCTTCCAGACTCAGCCTGGGGGGTGATTAAGGAGGGTTTATTAGTGAATAGGATGCCCAATCAGCAACCCCTAGGAGGATTAGAAACTAGACGAGAAGAAGGGAGCAGGCTAAAGGAAGAGCACCTGCTAAGCTTGGCGTGAGAGGTCCTCTTCGGGGTCCTGAGCAGAAATGTGAACATTATTCATAGCCCATCCATGATTCCCTGATGTCCTCTGGATAAAGTCTAAGCTCCTTAACCAGGTGTCCATCCCCTTGATCACTCTTTCACTCGTTTATTCATTTATTCAACAAGCACTCCCCTGCTGGTGATGGATACCAACCTGCCCCTGCCCCTATGAGGCTCCCAGAGAAACGTTCAGGAGGCAGAAAGGCTAGACGGGAGGTAGGAAGAGGCATCTAGGCTCAGGCCCAAGGCTTGAGACAGACTCTGGAGGGGGAATAAGTCTGGGGGAGATACTGAGGCCATTTGGGGTTTGTCTTGGTCACTGCTGGGTCCTCACTGCCCGGTTCTCATTGCCCTCTTCAGAGTTCCCTAATACCTGGTGCAGAAGAGAGTCCAGGGAGTTCATTCATCTAGGGGGCCAGGCCCTGTCCTTGGTGCTGAGGATTCGGCTGTGATTGGGCAGACAGGGCCCCCACTCTCCCAGAACTTATGTCCTATCAGGAAGATATACAATAAGCAGTACACTGTGGAATATTTTCAGAGAGCAAAGGAAATGAAGTTCATGTAATAAGAGCAAATGGGAGGCTCATGAAGAAGGTGCTCAGGGAAGACATTTCTTGAGGGGGTGACTTTGGGGCAGAGACTAAGGATAAGTCAACAGAGTCAGCAGTAATAACAATGGTGCTTATGGGTGTCTCTACACAAAGGAACTCTGTGTGATCAGTGGGATCAGTGCTATTACCCCAGTTTACTGATGGGGAAACTGAAGCATGGGGAGGTTGGCCTCATTTGCTCATGACCACACAACTAAGCAATGGAGTCAGGATTTGAACCCAATCTCCTGGGTCACTAGGAGGACTCTGGCTTTTACTCTGAGCAACGCGGAGCCACAAATGGGCTCTGAGCAGGAGGGGGACGCCATATGATTCAGGCGTTCACAGGGTCCCTCCAGCTGCACGTGAGGAACATACTTTGGGGGCAGGATGGGGCAGGGAAGAGAGAGCGGGCAGGAGGCCACTGCGCTGGCCTGACCCATCCCTGTCTCCCCGCAGCCATGTCCTGCCCGGCCAACAGCCGCTACGAGCTCTGCAGCCCTGCCTGCCCCGCCTCCTGCAACCCCACGGCTGCCCCGGCTAACTGCTCGGGGCGCCCATGCGTGGAGGGCTGCACGTGCCTCCCCGGCTTCATGGCCAGCGGGGACGCCTGCGTGCCGGCCTCGTCCTGCGGCTGCATCTACCAGGGCCTGCTGCTGGCGCCGGGCCAGCAGGTGTGGGCGGACGACCGGTGCAAGCGACGCTGCACCTGCGATGGTGCCACCCACCAGGTGAGCTGCAGCCAGACGAAGGGCTGTCTCACCGGGGAGCGCTGCCATGTCCAGAACGGCCTCCTGGGTTGCTACCCCCACCGCTTCGGGACCTGCCAGGCCTACGGTGACCCGCACTACTTGAGCTTTGACGGCCGGCGCTTCGACTTCATGGGCACCTGCACCTACCTGCTGACCGGCTCGTGCAACCAGAACCCGACACAGCCCAGCTTTCGGGTGCTAGTGGAAAACGAGCATCGGGGCAGCCAGACCGTGAGCTACGCTCGCGCTGTGCGTGTGGAGGCCCATGGCGTGAAGTTGGCGGTGCGCCGGGAGCATCCTGGGCAAGTGCTGGTGAGCACGGAGCACCTGGGCCAGCTGGGGGGAGGGGAGGGGCAGGACATCCCTCCAAAAGAGTTGGTGGGGCTGTTCAAAGACCTGTGGCCAGTGATTAAAGCCAGGGCCTCCAAGCAGGGCGGTGCTGCCTCTCTCTGGCTGTGTGACTTTGGCTCTCTGGGCCTCCACTTTGTCCTCTGTCACATGAGATTGTAAGAGGATGCCTCTAGTAGAAGCCGCTTCACAAGGTGGTTGTGGGAATCTCACCAGTTAATATTTGTAGAGTGTTTAAAAGACACTTTAAAACACTTAAATTTTTTTTAAACAACGAAAACACTTTTCAACACTCTTGACTACCAGCAAATGTTCAGTAAGTGGTGACTTAATATTGTATTGCTATGACCCCTCCAAAGTTATAGATTTGGGCATTTTTTGGCAGGTGATTTATTTTCAGAGAGTAGGGTGACCTGTGAAAGGTTGGGAACTAGAGGCGTGTGTTTTGCGGGTGAGAGGGGGAGCCCAAACAGCAGCAGGTTTCCGGGCAAAGGGCTCTCAGATGGTCCACCCCCCAGCAGAAGTCAGGAACTACTGATTTACTCTTTTTCTAAAAAGATAAAAATTGAAAGATGGGTTGTTGTAAGATTCACAGCAATAGGTGATCATTATTATTATTATTATTATTTTTATCCTCACCTGAGGACATTTTTCCATTTTTCGCACAGATAGAGTGGGAGGGAGAGAGAGAGAAACATCGACGTGAAAGAGACACATCGAGTGGCTGCCACCCACACGACCAACCAGGGCCGGGGACAAACTGCAAATGAGGTACATGCCCTTAGTGGGAACCGAACCCGGGTCTCTCCGGACCGCAGGCCGACGCTCTAACCGCTGAGCCAAACTGGCCAGGGCCAGGTCTTAACTCTTAATCCTCAGAACAACCTTGGAGTAAAGAAAATTCTGCCCATAAAGCCTAGTGTTTGACATAGAGAAGCTTCTTGATAAACAGAGGACATGGTTGTTAATATTTATGTTCTTATCTCTCTGAGATGACATTTAAGCTGAGACTTGAATAATAATAGCCAACATATATTAAGTTATTTCTATGTGTTAAATGCTTGACCTATAGTAACTGATTTCATTTCTACGAAAACCTTGTGAATTAGCTAATCTTGTTAGATGAGGAAACTGAGGCACAGAGAGGTTAGGTCAGTTATTCAAGGCCACACAGCCAATGAGTGGCAGAGCCAGGATTTGAAGCCAAGCGGTCTGTCTCCAGAGTCCATATTCTCAACCACTACCTTCTATTGCCTCTCCTGAAGAGATGGAACAGGCAGGGAGCTAAGAGGATGGAAGGGCGTTTCTGCCAGAAGGAACAGCAAGTGTAAAGGCTCTGAGGCAGGAACAAACACGAGGGGTAGAGGAACAGCATGGAGGCCAGTGGGGCTGGAATGGAGGGAGAGAGGGAAGAATGATGTAGGGGATAATGTAGAGGAGAGCTATGATACAGCTTTCGATTTTAGCTGGAACCTAAAAGATGAGGACGACACCACCAGGGGAAGAGTGGTTATTCCCAGGCAGGGGGAAGAGCAGGTGCAAAGGCTGAGGCTGGACTGAGCTTGAGGCAGAACAGCGTGGGGCCAATGAGGCTGCCCCTGGGAGAAGGTTGGGAAGATGGAATGGAGAGGCTGGTAGGAGATGAGATCAGAAAAGTGGAGGCGAGCAGGGCCTGGTGGGTAGAGAGGTTTAACTTTTTTAAACATGTTTTAATTGATTTTTTAGAGAGAGAGGAAGGGAGAGAGAGAGAGAGAGAGAGAAACATCTATGTGAGAGAAAAATATCAATCGGCTGCCTCCTGCACAGCCCCTTCTGGGGATCGAGCCCGCAACCCAGGCATGTGCCCTGACTGGGGATTGAACCGGGACCTCTCAGTCCATGGGACAATGCTCAATCCACCGAGCCACACCAGCAGGGCTAGAGGAGTTTGATTTTAAGCTGAGTGGTGAAAGACGAACGGGAGGAAGCCAGGCAAAGAATAGGAATGTGGGAGAAGGTGGAAATGTCACAGAGGCTGCAGTGAGTGCAAAGGCTCTGAGGCTGGCTGAGCTGGGGAGGTCAGGAGAGCATCAAAGTGCCTGCATGGCTAGAGTTTCAGGGGTGGGGAATGGGGCAGTACTAGAGAATTCAATCGGAGAGTGGTGGGATTCACACCACCTAGGGCCTTTTTAGGTCGTTGTAAGGGGTTGAGATCAAAGTTGACACCAAAAAGGTGAAGTAGAGGTGGCCACGTGAAGAGTGATGGGTGGTATTCCAGGAAGTACAAAGGCCCTGAGGTGGGAGTGCACTTGGTACGTTCAGGGTGGCAGCAAGGAGGCTAAGCGAGAGATGTAGTAGGCGATGCCACCACAAAGGTGGAGAGAGCTAAGGTGAAGCAGGACTTTCTAGAGTAGGGAATTGGATTTGAGCCAAATACTGAAGGCTGAGGGGAGAGCAGCCAGGAGAAAAAGTGCTAGATGGTGTTCTTGGCAAAGTAAAAAGGCCCTAACGTGATACTAAACTGGGAGAGTTAGAGGAACATCGAGAAAGACAGTGTGGCCCTGGCCGGTTTGGCTCAGCGGTTAGAGCGTCGGCCCGCGCGGACCAGGGAGACCCGGGTCCGGTTCCCACTAAGCCGCAGCGGTTCTCAACCTGTGGGTCGTGACCCCTTTGGGGGTCGAACGACCCTTTCACAGGGGTGGCCTAAGACATAACAGTAGCAAAATTACAGTTATGAAGTAGCAATGAAAATAATTTTACGGTTGGGGTCACCACAACATGAGGAACTGCATTAAAGGGTCGCGGCATTAGGAAGGTTGAGAACCACTGCGCTAAGGGCACGTACCTCGGTTGCAGTTTGTTCCCGCCCCGGTTGGGGTCGTGTGGGTGGCAACCAGTCAATGTGTCTCTCTCACATCGATGTTTCTCTCTCCCTCTCACTCTATGCAAACATGTCCTCAGGTGAGGATAAAAAGAAAAAAACAAAAGCCAGTGTGGCTAGAACAGAATGAATGAGGGGCAGTGTGTGAAGTGAGGGGGGTCATGGGGAGACAGAGTCTGTAGGCTTTGAGAGCCACGGGTTAGGGATTCGGATTTAAGTTGATACTTGAAGTATGAAGAGAGGTACATGGTGTGCTAGGCAGAGGCTAGTTCAAAGGCTCTGAGGTGGGACCACGCATAAGGTGCTCAAGAGAATAGCAAGGAGCTAAGAATAGCTGCAGCTGAGTGAATGAGGGTGGGCTGCAGAGCCGGGAATACACCCTGACCCCTTGGCCCCCTACTCTACGCAGGTGAATGGCATCCTTCAGTACCTGCCCTTCCAGGCAGCAGGTGGGAAGATCCACGTGTTCCGCCAGGGCCAAGATGCAGTCGTGCGCACGGACTTTGGTCTGACTGTCACCTATGACTGGGATGCCCGTGTGACTGCCAAGGTGCCCTCAAGCTATGCTGAGATCTTGTGTGGGCTCTGCGGGAACTTCAATGGGAACCCAGGTGATGATTTGGCTCTGCGGGGTGGGGGCCAAGCTGCCAATGCACTGGCCTTTGGCATGAGCTGGCAGGAGGAGACAAGACCAGGCTGTGGAGCATCTGAGCCAGGTGACTGTCCCAAGCTGGACTCCCTGGTGACCCAGCAGCTGACAAGCAAGAAGGAGTGTGGGATCCTTGCTGACCCTACGGGGCCCTTCCGGGAATGCCACCGCAATCTGGACCCACAGGGCCCTATGCGAGACTGTGTCTACGACCTCTGCCTGGTGCCAGGCCAGTCTGAGCTACTGTGTGACGCACTGGCCGCCTATGCCGATGCATGCCAGGCCGCTGGGGCCACTGTGCACCCCTGGAGGAGTAAGGAATTCTGCCGTGAGTACCAGTAATGAAACGGGTCTTACCCTCGTGTATATTCATTAACATATAAACATCATCAACTCATTTAATTCTTATAACAGCCTTATGAAATAAGGACTGCCGTTTTACCCATTTAGCAGATGAGGAATCTGAGGCTCAGAAAGTATCAGTTACATACCCATGATCATGACAGCTAGGAAATCACAGATGCAGTAAATATTTACATCTGGTAGCCCAGGTCTGATTGCCATATGGCATTTGTAACTCAGAGAAGGGCAATGGTGCTGCCTTTAGAAGGAGCCCAGTCCCGTCTCCAGTTCTTGATCCCCATCTGGCCTATTTCACTCATGTACAACATCGGCCTGGCCCCTTGGGCAGTCGCTTTGAGACTCTTGCATCAGATGTGGCTGCAGGAATGGTCTTCAAAGGTTTTTGCCTACCTATAAAAGAAGTTCACAAAGCCATGCATCCCCTCACCTGATTTTTACATTTTAAAATGTATTGTTGAAATATAAAACACGTGTTCTAAAATATATACATATAATAAGTAGCAGCTTAATCGCTTTTCAGCAAGGGAACAAATTTGTGTAACCTGTCCCAAGAATCATGAAAAAGAATCTACTAGGCCCCCCACCGCCTCAGAAGCCCCTTCATGCCCTCTTCCCAGCTCTATACCCCAAGAGGTAACCACTATTCTGACTTCTAAAGTTTCTGAACTTCATATAAGTGCAACCATTGTATATCTCTAGTTTTCATCCTTAGTGTAAATAATTGCACAGCTCACAGAATCATGAGAAACAATAAGCACCTGTTGTTTTAATTCACTAAGCTTTGGGGATGTTTGTTACCCAGCAAAAACTAACTGATGCAGTAATCAAAAAAGAGACTGTTGTGTATAAAACTACATTACAATAAGTTAAATTTTGTTGAAATTAAAAAACATTAGAATGTCAACCTGGGTTCCAGTTTCCCCAATCTGCTAAGAAAAATGTATGTTTTCAGTTTGTTTGAATCTGGATTCAGACCAAACCCACACAATGCAGTGGGTTGCTTTTTCTTTTTTTTTTTTTTTTTTATCCTCACCCAAGGACATTTTTCCATTTTTTGTTCAGATAGAGCAGGAGGGAGAGAGAGGAAGAGAGAGAGAGAGAAACATCGATGTGAAGGGACACATCAAGTGGCTGCCACCCGCACGACCAACCAGGGCCGGGGACAAACTGCAACCGAGGTACATGCCCTTAGCGGGAACCGAACCCGGGTCTCTCAGGACCGCAGGCCGACGCTCCAACCGCTGAGCCAAACCGGCCAGGGCTTCTTACATCACTTTTATCCTATAATAATCTCCTCCCTCTTCACCCCCAACATATGAAAAATTTCAAACATACAGAAAAGTTTTATTTTACAGTGAATACCTATACACTCACCATCTAGATTCTACAATCTATTATATGTTCTTTGTCACACATCTATCCCTCTACCCATCCCTCCCTCTTGTTTGTGCCATTTATTTATTGGAAAATAAAAAACAGGTCCTTTGTCTTGCAGGGTTTCCTATTTTCTGGATTTGGCTAGTTGCTTCTTTGTAATGTTATTGACTTGTCTCTCTGTTCAGCCAGATTTTCTTTTTTTCTTCTTTCTTTTTATTAATCCTCATTCAAGGGTATTTTTTCTATTGATTTCTAGAAAGAGTGGAAGAGAGAGACACATCTATTGGTTGCCTCCCACATGTGTCCTGACTGGGGCCAGGGATTGAACCTGCATCCCAGGTACATGCCCTTGACTGGGTATCGAACCTGTGACCCTTTGGTGCATAGGCTGTCGCTCTAACCACCGAGTGACACAGGCCAGATATCGCCGGATTTTTTGGTAAACTGGATATTAGATCTAGAACAGTACAGTTCAATAGAACTTTGGTGATTCTGGAAATGTTCTCTATCTGAGCTGTCTCATACGGGTGCCATTAGTCACGTATGGCTATTGAGCCCTTGACACTGGGCTATTGTGATCAACAAACTAAATCTTCATTTTATTTCATTTTTATTAAATTACACTTAAATGGCCACAGTGGCTATTATATTGGGCTGCTCAGATATAGGATTGATTTGGTTCAGTTTGTTTTTTGTTTGTTTGTTTGAGGAAACTGCCTGTCTTGTAGTCTGGAGTGAATGGGGTTTGGAGAGAGGAACAGGGATTTTTTAATTTATTTTTTATGTACAACATGGCCAAATACTTTTATCTGTAGAATTAGTACTCCTACTATAGAATGAAGACGCTAAGAGTGTTGCATTCACAAATACACTGCATAGATCTCTCACACACACTCACTATAAGCCTCACTCAACAGAGGGACTCCTAGCAGCTAGACCGTGTGTGTGTGTGTGTGTGAGTGTGTGCACATATGCATGTGTGTCAGTTGGTCAGCTGTGTCACTGGGATCAGGAATCTCAATCCTGATGGCCACTCTTCCTGCAGCGCTGAGTTGCCCGCCCCACAGTCACTATGAAGTGTGCTCCCGTGGCTGCCCGCTGTCCTGTGGAGACCTCCCAGTGCCTGGAGGCTGTGGCTCCGAATGCTATGAGGGCTGCGTGTGCGACGATGGCTTTGTACTCAGTGGTGAGTCCTGTGTGCCCCTGTCCTCCTGCGGCTGCGTGCACCAGGGCATCTACCACCCTCCAGGCCAGACCTTCTTTCCTGGACCTGCGTGCAATTCCCTTTGCCACTGCCTGGAGGGTGGCCTGGTGACCTGTAATCCCTCCACCTGCGGCCCGAATGAGGCCTGCCAGCCTTCCGGTGGCGTCCTGGGCTGTGTGGCTGTGGGCTCTGCCACCTGCCAGGCATCGGGAGACCCTCATTATACCACCTTCGATGGCCGCCGCTACGACTTCATGGGCACCTGTGTGTACGCCCTGGCTCGGACCTGTGGAACCCGGCCTGGCCTGGAACAGTTTGCTGTCCTGCAGGAGAATGTAGAGTGGAACAATGCGAAAGTCAGTGTGACCCGAGTGATCACTGTCCAGGTGGCCAACTTCACCCTGCGGCTGGAGCAGAATCGGTGGAAGATCACGGTGAGAGCAGGGAGGTCTGGGATAGAGGGTGATCTCTGGGTGGGACCCAGGCAGTGCTCAGCCCAGGGGCGGAAGACACAGGGCTCAGAGTGGATGTGGGAGGCATGGGGCTCTCGAGGAGAGGGCTTGCTGATCAGAGCCCGGAGCGGGTAGCCAAGGAGACCCTGTGGACCTGAAACCTGTGTCTGTGTGGCTCAGTCTCCCCTTATTCCCACTCAGTAGATGAGGAAACAGAAACAGAGGGGTGACTCTGCTACCCCAGGTCACAGAAAGAGTAAGGGGCAGAGCTGTGTTTGAACCCAGGCAGGTGTCTCTGGAGTCAGTCACTGCATTACTGGTCACCGCAGTAAGTGGTGATTAACCAATAACTGATAAGGGAGTTAATCTGTGTAGACCTCGATTAGTTTCTTGTGGCTTAAAACAACAGAAATGTATTTTCTCACAGTTGTGAATGTCAGAAGTCCAAAACCATAGTGCTGGTAAGGGCTGCACCACCCCTTCCAAAGGCTCTAGGGGAGAATCCTTCCTCACCCCTTCTGGTTTCTGGAGACTCCGGAGTTCCCTGGCTTGTGGCTGCGCCACTCCAATCCTTGTTTTCATCTTCATGGGCCCTCTCCCGGTATCTCTGTCGTTTCTCCTTCTGGCTCTTATAAGAACATTTGTCATTGGACAGAGGGCTCATCCTAATCAGGATGATTGCATCTCAGGATCATTATCCTAATTACATTTGCAATAACCTTTATTCTGAATAAAATCATATCCTGAGATCCTGGATAGATATATCTTTTGGGAACCACCATTCAGCCCACTCTAAGACCCTATTATTATACCCGTTTCACAAATATGGAAATTAAGGTCATACAGAGCTTCGATGTCAGGCAGAGGTTTGAGGAAGGTCAGCCGTCTCAAAGCGTATCCTCTGAAGCATGGCGTCTCCTGTCTCCTAGATAAACGGTGTGGACAGGAAGCTTCCTGTGGTGCTGGATGGGGGCCGCGTCACTGCTTCCCAGCATGGCTCAAACGTTGTGATCCAGACTGACTTTGGCCTGCGTGTGACCTATGACCTCTTGTACAATGTGCGGGTCACAGTCCCAGGCAACTACTACCAGCAGTTATGTGGCTTGTGTGGGAACTATAACGGTGACCCAAAGGATGACCTCCAGAAGCCCGATGGCTCGCAGGCAGACCACCCCAATGAGTTCGGCAACTCCTGGGAGGAGGCAGTGCCCGGCTCTCCCTGCTTCAAGCCGCCCGCATGCAAGCCGGGCGAAAATTGCAACCTTCCGGTGTGTGGCCCTGAGTTGCAGGAAAAATACCAGCGGCCGCAGTTCTGTGGGATCCTCACCGACCCCAGTGGGCCACTGGCTGCCTGTCACAAGCTGCTTGATCCCCTGGGTCCCATGCACGATTGTGTCTTTGATCTCTGCGCGGGTGGTGGAAACCAGAGCGTTCTCTGCAGCAACGTTCACGCCTATGTGAGTGCTTGCCAGGCGGCTGGAGGCCACGTTAAACCCTGGAGGAGCGAATCTTTCTGCCGTGAGTAAGGGGCAGAGAAGGGGGAAACCTAGAGACAGAGAGAAGGGGCGGTGGAGGCACAGAAGGGGCAGATCCTGAGCCCTGCAGCACCCCCTTCCCAGGGGCTCTGACCCACATACCCTCTTTGCAGCGATGAAGTGCCCTCCTCACAGCCACTACAAGCTCTGTGCAGATACATGCTCCCTGACTTGTTCTGCACTCAGTGCCACCCCGAATTGCCCAGAAAACTGTGCAGAGGGCTGTCAGTGTGACCCCGGCTTCCTCAGTGATGGCCAAGCCTGCGTGCCCCTCCAGAAATGTGGCTGCTACCACAGTGGTGTCTACTATGAGGTAGGAACCTGGTCATCCCGAGCACATCTGGGATCTCATCCCGGACCCCCCCCCATTGCCCATCAGCTTGCCCACTTGGCATCCTGAATGTCCCTCCCAGCCACCCCTCTTCCACAACCCATGGCCCCACTGTGATCCAGTTTGTCCCCTCTTACCTGGCTCCCTCCCGGCTCTCATTTTTGCTCCTTTTGGTCACTGTCCCCCTGGCAGTGGGAAAGACCTTTGTAAATATGACCACAGCCCCTGCAACTTTAAACCCTCCCCTGACTCCCCAGGTCAATTTTGGCTTTGTACGTAGATCTAGATGGTGTCTCTGTTATAACAGCAGCTAACTCCCTCTGCGTCCCTCTTCCATTCTCACGGTTACTCTGTTTCCTTTGATTTGACTGTGTTTGTCTAAAGTCTGTCACCCTTAAAGCACTTTCTGATGCTGTCCTCATGTGAATAATAATAGTAATAGCCCTGGCCGATTTGGCTCAGCGGTTAGAGCTTCGGCCTGCGGTCCGGAGAGACCCGGGTTCGGTTCCCGCTAAGGGCACGTACCTTGGTTGCAGTTTGTCCCCAGCCCTGGTTGGGTCGTGTGGGTGGCAACCACTCGATGTGTCGCTTTCACGTCGATGTTTCTTTCTTTCTCTCCCCCTCTCACTCTATCTGAACAAAATATCGAAAAATGTCCTCGGGTGAGGATAAAAAAAATAAATAAATAATAGTAATAACAGCAAATGGGCAGATGGTGCTTACTACATATGGTTATTGCTTTAAGTGCTAAACGTACATACTACACTACACTCTACTATACTATGATATAAACTTTTTATTATGAAAAATTTCAAACATGCAAAAGAGAGCAGTGTAATAAATCTGCATGTACCCGTCACTCAACTTAAAAGAAAAAAATTAACATGCTCCCAATCTTGTTTTATCTCTACCTGTTTTCTCTTCAATCTGGACGATTTAAAGGAAATCCTTTTTCATTTCATCTGTGCTTTATACGTATTACTAATTCAGTTATACTTTCCTAGGCAGGTGCTATTGTTATCTGCAACTTACAGATGTGGAAACTGAGGCATAAAGAGGTTAAGTAATTTGCACAGAATGATATGACTTGAACACTAGCAGAAACAGGCTTCAGACTCAGAAAATCTGCTCGAGAGCCTTTGCTTCTAATTACTCTGAGACACCATTTATCCTACACAGCAGACATTTAGTGATTTTTATGTAATAAACAAATGAGTAAATGAATGACAGTGAATGAATGAAGGAATTGAACCCCCAGGCCATGCCATGGCATAGTTTCACAGACAAGGGACCACCCTGATGAAAGAGGTCCCTTTCCTGTCCTCCGGTCCCCTTTGTGCCCAGAACACCAGAGATGCTGGAGTCAGCTCCCGCACTGACTGATGGTTATGCCCTCTGTCCCCACAGCCAGGGCAGAAGGTTCTCATTGACAACTGCCAGCAGCAGTGCGTGTGCCACACTGGGACAGGCCTGGTGTGCCAGAACCACAACTGTGAGCCGGAGTATGTGTGCCACTCCACGGCAGGCATCCTGAGCTGTGTCAAAGGTACTGGGCTAGGGCTGGCGCCGTTGTGGCTCAGAACGGAGGACAGTGACTCTGGAGCTGAGGGTGGCGTGACCTGGATCTTTATGGTGGGAGGCACAGAGGACTAAGGGTTGAGGTCTCAGACATGGACACCCCTGGGCTGGGATTCCCAGGGCCAGGTGCAGGGGCCCTCCAGGCGGGGAGGCAGGGACCCTTCTGGTGGAGTCCAGGCTATGGGGGCTCCTCAGAACTGGGTTTCCTGGGCAGATATCAGAGACCTTCAGTATAAGGCAAACATTTTCTCTAAGGGGCCAGATGGTAAATATGTAAACATCATCCCCAAGGGGTTTGAGAGACTGGGACCCAAGGGGACAGGGACAGAGTCCTGAGGTCTTAAGCAGAGACCTCACCAAAGCTTGGGTCTTGGATACAGGGCCCCCCCTCAAGTGGAGGATCAGGATTTATAGGGATATAGTGTCAGACATAGGGACCCCCCCTAGACTAAGTCTAAGACACAAAGCCACCCCCATGACTGGTTTCTTAGGGTGAAGGGTAGAGAATAATTTCCTTATTTCTGAGGATAAGGAAATGGGACCTCCAGAACCGACTGAGACCCTCAGGGCTGATGGGCAGGATAACAGGGACTCCGAGGGATGGGGGATATACTGGTCAGGATCCAATCAGGAGACAAACCACACAGCAGCTGGAATAGGAAAGCTGGAGAGAAAGAATTCTTTACTTGTAATAGGGGATAGAAACGAAGGGGCACAAAGCAGATACAGGGAGCAGCCCCTGCCACGAAGGCTAAAGCAGAGCACCCAAGGAAGGGAGGAATTGGGAAGAGGGCTCCCACCCCAAGGCTGAGAGGCAGACCTCATTGGAAGGTGCACCTGTAACCCGCTGAGTGGCCAAGAGGTTGTGCAGGCTGGAGCTAGCAAGCAGGAAAACCCCACTGCTGAGTGGGTGTCCCACATGCTGCTGGCCCCCTGTGACAACAGGAGCCAAGGAGAGCAGAGCGAGCGGGAAGCAAGAGGAGGAGCCCCTTCCTCCTGCCGGGACCCTCCAGTGCCCTCGATGGACAAAGCCTAAATCTATCAGTGGGTTTGGAGCAAAGAGGCCCTAAATTGAAATCTGGGACGGGGAGAAGAGGACATTTTAAAGCTGAGGTTTTGGGCATAGGGGTTCCAAAAACTGGGGTCACAAATATAGTGGTCCTAGGGACAGAATCTTGGACAAAGAGACCCTCGGAAGTAGGGCCTCAAAAATAAGATCCCCAAGGCTCAGGTTTCAGACGCAGCAGCCCCAGGGAGACAGGGTCATACACAGAAGGACCTCCAGGCCATGAGAGTTAGAAATGGGGACCGCAGGGTCAGGATCTCCAATGTTGGGACTTCTGGTGTTAGGTTGTCACCAGAAACTTCCTTCAATACCTCGGTCTTGGGCACAGAGACCTCCAGGACCTGGGTGTTAGATGTGGTTGCCTCCAGGTGGCTAGATTGGGAGAACCTAGGCTCAGGTCTTGAACCCAGAGAACCCTGGAGCTATGAATATTATAGATATCCGCAGGGCTGGCATCACAGACAGAGAGACCCCTGGAATTGTGGTCTCAAGCCTGGGTCACCTGGGGCTGAAATCTCAAGCAAGAGGACTCCAGGACCTAGGTCTCAGATATAGGAACCCTAGAGCCTAGGTCTTGAATGCAAGTCCCCTGAGGCCTGAGTCTCAGACAGCAAACTTCAGGGCCCAGGTCTCAGATGTGGGGACCTTTGACAGGGTCTTGGACCTAGTCCACTGGGCCTGAGTTTTAGACGTGGGGGACTCACAGGGCTTGCATCTCAGAGGTGAAGACCCTGGTCTGCTCTCACTTGTGCTGGCCCTCAGTCAGGATCCCTGCACAGATGGCAGCAGATGCTGGGGAGCAGCAGGCCTCATGCCAAACAGCCCCTCACGGTCCTCTTCTCCTCTGCCCCCAGAACTGTGCAAGGGTAAGAACTGTCGGCCACAGGAGACATGCCAGGAGAAGGATGGCCAGGGTGTGTGTGTGCCCAACTATGAGGCCACGTGCTGGCTGTGGGGCGACCCCCACTACCACTCCTTCGACGGCTGGAACTTTGACTTCCAGGGCACCTGTAACTACGTGCTGGCAACAACCAGCTGCCCAGGGGTCAACACCCAGGGCCTGACACCCTTCACCATCACCACCAAGAATGAGAACCGGGGAAATCCCGCTGTGGCCTACGTGAGGATGGTCACTGTGACTGCCCTCAACGTCAACATTTCCATCCACAAAGGCGAGACTGGCAAAGTCCGGGTAAGTCCCACAGGATGGTCCCCTGAGCTCCCCCCACCCCCGGTTGAGCAGGAGGGGTCCTGCTGGCCACAGTTAGGAGCTCAGCACTCTCTTCACCTACGCGCAAAACAAAATGGCAGCAAAGCGACAATGACAGCCAAAACATCAGCCCTCTGTTGGGAAGTAAATGAGCTCACCCCTTTGCGAAGGGCTTTAACGTAGGACTTCAGCATATTTCCTTTTTTGAGAACTGGGTTTGAATCCAGGCTCTCTGTATACACTGTATGATGCTGGGCGAGTGACTATTTGATGGGCCTGCTTCCTTGTCTTCAGAATGGGGATCATAGCAGGCCCTGCCCCGCAGTGAGACGGTGCGTGTCAGGTGATCAGCTGAGGGCCTGACCCAAGGAAGTCACCATGAATGTTTGTGAGGGAACAAATGAGAGACCTAGAGACTCTGATATGGAGCAACATTCAGGGAACTAGAGAGAGAGAGATGGGCCACCCTTTCCGCCCAGAGTAATGAGAGGCAGAGTAATGGCAGCTCCCAGAAAAGAGTGAGGTGTGGAACAGGGTAGCCACTCAATAAATGCTGGTGACCGAAGCCAGTCAGAGAAAGACAAATATCACATGATCTCACTTCCATGTGGAAGCTAATGAACAAATAAACTGATGAATAGAATAGAACCAGAGGCATGGAAACATGGAACAGACTGACAGATCTCAGAGGGAAGGGGGTGGAGACGGGTGGGAAGAAATTCACCCAAGAACTTACATGCATATATGCATTGCCCATGGACACAGATAATAGGGTGGTGAAAGCCTGGGGTGGGGTTGGAACCACATGGTGGAGGGCAATGGAGGGAAAAGAGGGGGGACATCTGTAATACTCTCAACAATAAATATTTTTAAATAAATAAGTAAATGATGGTGAGTGGAAGAGATACCCAGATACAGAGAGGTGCCCAGGGAATGAGGAGGAAGGGAGCAGGTGGGTGAGAGTCCCAGAGAAAGATCCAGAGAGAAGGACCTAGATAAAGAGCAATCCAGAGAGAGTAGGCGCGCACACACACACACAGAAACTCAGAGAAAGAGAAACCCAGAAAGAGAGAGAGATCTAGATGTAGAGAGGGAAAGAGACAATAGGGAGAAGAAGGGAGGGAGATGGAGATCGTGAGAGAAAGACCCAGAAAAAGCAGCAGAGGTAGGTTTCATTCCCCAGGGCCGGGACTACAGCAGATGTCCCTAACGCTGGTCCAATGACCGCACGTCCCTCGGTTGTGGCCGCTTCCAGCCGTGGCAGGCCGAGTGAGGGAGGCAGAGACCAGGCTGAGCCTCCACACCTTGCGTGACCTGTTTGCCTCCAACCTCCCCTTTCCTCCAGGTGAACGGTGTGCTGACAGCGCTGCCTATCTCTGTGGCTGGCGGGCGGCTCTCAGTGAGTCAGGGCACATCAAAAGCGATGCTGACAACTGACTTCGGGCTGCAGGTCAGCTATGACTGGGACTGGCGAGTGGATGTGGTGCTGCCCAGCAGCTATCATGGCGCAGTGTGTGGCCTTTGTGGGAACATGGACCGCGACCCTAACAATGACAGAGTCTTCCCCAACCGCACACTGGCTTCCTCAATACCCATCTGGGGTGGCAGCTGGCGAGTCCCAGGCTGGGACCCACTGTGCTGGGATGAATGTCAGGGGTCCTGCCCAACATGCCCTGAGGACCGGCTGGAGGAGTACAAGGGCCCTGGTTTCTGTGGACCCCTGGCCGCTGGAGCAGGAGGCCCCTTTGCTGCCTGCCATGCCCACGTGGCACCTGATAGCTTCTTCAAGGGCTGCGTTCTGGATGTTTGCCAGGGCGGTGGGGCCCATGACATACTATGCCAGGCTCTGACTACCTATGCTGCTGCCTGCCAGGCTGCTGGCATTGCCATCAAGGACTGGCGGGCACAGGCTGGCTGTGGTAAGTGTTGGGGTGAACAGGGCAGGACTTGGAGGTGGGTGTCCTGTCTCTGCAGGGCTGATTTGGTTTCACTCCAGTCCTTCTGGGTCTTTTTGTTTCTTTCTCTTTATGACTCTTTGTTTTTGTCTCTTGGTGTTTATCTCTGTGTCTTCCAATGATTGTCTCTCTGTCTCTCTATTTCTCATTTTCTCTCTCCTATCTCTGTTTGGGTCTTTGTTTTACCTCTCCTTGTCTCTTTGTGTCTCTTGCTCTGTCTCTCTCAGTCTCCCTGTCTGTCCCTCTTTGTCTCCTCTATCTCTGTCTCCTCCCATCCTATCCTCAGATCCCACCTTTTGACATTATTCTCTCTTTCTCTCCCTCCCACTCCTTAATCCACCTACAGAGATCTCCTGCCCCAGCAACACTCACTACGAGCTCTGTGGCCCACCGTGTCGAGCCAGCTGCCCATCCCCTGCACCCTCCAAGATCTCAGCCCCATGTGAGGGCCCCTGCACTGAGGGCTGTCAGTGTGACTCGGGCTTTGTGTTGAGCATAGACCGCTGTGTCCCTCTGGATGGCGGCTGTGGCTGCTGGGCCAACAACACCTACCACGAGGCAGGCAGTGAGTTTTGGGCGGGTACTACCTGCTCCCAGAGGTGCCACTGTGGACCTAAAGGTGGCTCGCTGGTCTGCAAGCCTGCCAAGTGTGGGCTAGGTGAAGAATGTGCCCTGCTGCCTTCAGGCCAGTATGGCTGCCGTCCTGTCAGCACGGCTGAGTGTCAGGCCTGGGGTGACCCCCATTACATCACCCTGGACGGACACAAATTCGACTTCCAGGGTAGCTGTGAGTACCTGTTGAGTGCACCCTGCCATGCACTCCCTGCGGGGGTTGAGAACTTCACCGTCACTGTAACCAATGAGCACCGGGGCAGCCAGGCCGTCAGCTACACCCGCAGCGTCACCCTGCACATCTACAAACACTACCTGACCCTCAGTGCCCGATGGCCCCGACAACTGCAGGTGAGGGGTCTGTGGACCAGACAGGAGCACGTGCCAGCCCTGAAGTTGCTTGGGAGTTAGTGGTCTGCCATCCTCTGATTACCTTTCACAGGCTAGGGAGGGAGGGCATGACGGAGGGTTCAGAGTACAGGCCTCCGAGGCAGATGGCTTGGAGCGGTGACTTCCCCACCTCTGAGCTTTCGTTTATTCCTCTATAAAATGGATCTAAGAAAAGTATCTGCTTCAGAGGGTAGTGCGAGGAGCCAGTGACATCGTGTCTAAAGATGATTATTATTAAAAGGAAGGAGGTCACGTGCTCAGGGTTCCAATGCCCCCCCAAAACCCCCCCCCAGGTGGTAGGGGACAGGATTCAAACCTGTGCCCAGCGTTCACTACCTCCACCCCCACCCCATGCCCGCAGGTGGACGGCCAGCTCGTGTGGCTGCCCTTCCAGCTGGACTCCCGCCTGAGCGCGCACCTGAGCGGCCCCGACGTGGTCCTGACCGCGGCCAATGGGCTCTCGCTGATTTTCGATGGGAACAGCTTCGTGCGCCTGCGCGTGCCGGTGGCCTACGCGGGCACCCTCTGTGGTCTGTGTGGGAACTACAACCAGAAACCCGAAGACGACCTGCAGGCGGTGGGCGGGAAGCCCAGCCGCTGGCAGGTGGGCGGTGCCCCGGACTGTGGGGAGTGCAAGCCCGGGCCTTGCCCAGCACCTTGCACGTCGGAGCAGCAGAAGCCCTTCGGTGGCCCGAAGGCCTGCGGAGTGATCTCGGACCCTAAAGGCCCACTGGCGCCCTGCCACCACCTCCTGCCACCTGCACAGTATTTCCAGGCCTGTTTGCTGGACGCCTGCCAGGCTCAGGGTCATCCGGGAGGCCTCTGTCCGGCTGTGGCCGCCTATGTGGCAGCTTGTCAGGCCGCCGGGGCTCACCTTGGCGAGTGGAGACAGCCGGACTTCTGTCGTGAGTACTCATCTATGCCTGGGCCACAGAGTAGGGGTCTCCCCACCTCCCCCCTTCACAGGGCTGTAAGACAAGAGCCTTCTGCTTCGACGTGGGGCTTAGACACCACCCCTCTCCCCTGACAGATATCTCTTGTCAAAGAAACATCTTGACATTCACATACTAAATACACTGGGAGAGACTCTGATACACCTGGTCAGAAACCCTGCTCCAATAGACTCTCAGGGAGCATGCGCTCAGGTATCTTAGCCCTATAAAGTGGGTTGGCTGACCTTTTCAGAGCTACACAGTGAGATACACCTGGTCAAGTGGATTCTCTCCGGTACCCCTGGTCAGAGAGACCTAGAAAGCTACACCTAGTGAGATGCCCCTGGGCTCTTTCAGACACTGAAATACACAGGAATCGGCCCAATAACCTCAGACAGGGACCCTGGTTAGAGACACTGGGCAGATACACCCAGGTAGAATCACAATCCTGACAGCCCCAGACAGATAGGTACAGATTCACATGGATTCATACCCCAAGACACATCTGGCCCCACATCCCAGTCAGAGTCACACCCTGAACACCCACAGCTGGTTTAGGCCTGCACATCTTAGTCAGATATACATGGTCAAATTGATCAGATTGACACACAGCCTGGTCCCCAGAGCCCCAGACTGAACTCCCCAGTTAGATGTGCTGGATCTGACGCCCACTCAGATCCCTGGACAGAGTCGCTCATGAAGTGTGCTCAGGCAGAGCATACAGGTCCACCTGGGCACTTTCCTCCACTCTGCACCTCCCCCTAGCTCATTCCCCTCTTGTCCCCACAGCCTTCCAGTGCCCTGCCCACAGCCACTACCAGCTCTGTGGTGACTCCTGCCCTGTGAGCTGCCCCAGCCTCTCAGGGCCTCAGGGCTGTAAGGCAGCCTGCCGAGAGGGCTGCGTCTGCGATGTCGGCTTTGTGCTCAGTGGTGACACCTGCGTGCCTGTGGGCCAGTGCGGCTGCCTCCACGAGGGCCGCTACTACCCGCTGGGCCAGACCTTCTACTCAGGCCGTGACTGCAAGCGACGCTGTCAGTGTGGGCCGGGCGGCCACGTCAGCTGCCAGGAGGGCCTAGCCTGCCAGCCCAATGAAGAGTGCCGGGTAAAGGATGGTGTCCAGGCCTGTCACCCTAAAGGCTGTGGCCACTGTGTGGCCACGGGGGGCATCCACTACGTTACCCTTGATGGACGTGTCTATGATATGCATGCCTCCTGCTCCTATGTCTTGGCCCAAGTCTGCCAGCCACACCCTGAAGATGAGGACTTTGCCATTGTGCTTGAGCAGAATAAAGAGGGACAGCCCCAACGGCTGATGGTGACTGTAGCTGGCCAGGTTGTGGGCCTGGCTGGGGGCCCGCAGGTAAGTGAGCCTGGCCTTGCCCTGGGGGTCTGAAAGGGACATGGCCCTGCCCTGGACACTCTGAGGGAACACGATCTTGCCCTGGAAAGTCTGTGGGAGACATGGCCCATCCTATGGGTCTGAGGGGGACATGGCCCCACCCAAAGGGACTGACAGGGACATAGCTCCACCCTGGGAGTCTAAGGGGACTGCCTTATCTATGGTTCTGTGAGTCCCTGACCCACTTCACCCTTCCACCCAGGTCACTGTGGACGGCGAGGCTGTGGAACTGCCTGTAGCTGTTGGCCATGTGCGCGTGACCCCTGAGGGCCGGAACATGGTTCTGCAGACGACCAAGGGGCTGCGGCTTCTCTTTGATGGTGATGCCCACATCCTCATATCCATCCCCGGCTCCTTCCGTGGCCGGGTCTGTGGCCTCTGTGGGAACTTCAACGGCAACTGGAGTGATGACTTTGACCTGCCCAGTGGCACTATAGCCCCCAGCGTGGATGCCTTTGGAGCTGCATGGCGGGCACCCAGCTCCTCCCAGGGCTGTGGCGAGGGCTTTGAGCCCGACGGCTGGCCCGTGTGCTCAGCAGAGGAGACAGCGCCCTACGAGAGCCTCAAGGCCTGCGGGCAGATCCAGGACCCCCAGGGCCCCTTCTCGGCCTGCCATGCAGTGCTGAGGCCCTCTGAGTACTTCCGCCAGTGCGTGTTTGACTTGTGTGCCCAGAAGGGCAATAGCACCTTCCTCTGCCGTAGCCTGGCTACCTACACCGCTGCCTGCCAGGCAGCAGGCAAGGCCGTGAAGCCCTGGAGGACAAAGAGCTTCTGCCGTGAGTGCCCCTAGCCCCCCAGAGGACTTCAGACCAGGCTCAGGGAGGCCCCCTTATCTGCTCCCAGTCCTGTCTGCATCCTAGGAACAGTCCCTCCCTGTTGAAGGACCCCCGCCCAGCTTCTCCCATAGCACACCCTGTGGACTTCCCTCTGCCCACCCACTGGCTCTTCTCAGACGCCGTCCAGAGTCCCACTCTTCAGAACCGCAGAGGCAGGGCTCGTCCTGGACCCTTTCTGTGGTGACCGGGAGGGTGGGTTGGCAGGTCTTTAGTACACACAATAAAGCCTGAGTGTGACTCACCCAGACCCCACAGTACAGGAACATGTCCCCTCACATCCCCCGGGACAAGGCTGCAGCCCCTTCAGATCCCCAGGAATCTACCTCTCAGATCCCCCTAGTCAGGGGGTATCAGTTTCCTTTAAAGCCCCAGGGCAAGGCTGTGTCCCCTCCTACTCTCTAGGACAAGGCAGTGGCCCCTCATGCCCCCATGGCAGGGCCGTGGCTCCTTCCTTCTCCTCAGGGCAGGAACTACATTCAGGGCCATTATCCACCTCCGAAGCGTTAGATTTGTCTTCAGTACTGAGCAAGGACACTGTCTCTAGCTCTGACCTCTCTCCTGACTGCTAGCCTCAGGGGTCCAGTGGCCTCCCGGACACTTCCCTCTGGGTGTCCTTAGGGTCCTTCACACCTGCTGTGTTCCCATATGACATCAGCATTTTATCCCACACTTGATCCTCTAATTCCCTGGTCCTTATCTCAGGGCAGCCATGCTAGTCCCCAGCTCAGCCAGAGCCCAGAGCCCCACCTTGGATGCTTCTCCTGGGCCCTCCCCTCCCTGTTTTTGCCCCATCCTGGCCCTGACCACTTTGTACTTCCCCAATGCAGCCCTGGCCACGCTGGGCTGACACTATCCCACGGATATGAGCTCCAGAGCAGGGCCTGGGGCTGTCTTCATCACTCGTGTCCGCAGGGCTGGGGGTGCAGGTGTGACCCCACCCTTCCTGTCTCCCTGCAGCGCTCCAGTGCCCTGCCCACAGCCACTACTCCGCCTGCATGCACTCCTGCCAGGGCTCCTGCGCAGCTCTCTCTGGCCTCACGGGCTGCACCTCCCATTGCTTTGAGGGCTGCGAGTGTGATGACCGCTACCTGCTCTCCCAGGGCAAGTGCATCCCTGCCAAGGACTGCGGCTACACCCACGATGGCCGCTACTTGCCGGTGAGCCAGGGCTTGAGGTGGGCAGGGAATGTGGAGGGGTTTGAGGGAGACTCATAGCTTCAGTGCTGAGCCCCTCAAGGATGGGGACAGAGGAGCCACCCACATTTCTCGGCGGGGTGACTCAGTGCTGACATCTCTGTTAGTTTCCTGTGGCAGCTGGGATAAATGACCATAAACTTAGTGGCTTAAAACAAGAGAAATGTATCATCCCACAGTTCTGGAGGCCATCATTCAGAAATCAGAAGGCTGGGTCAAAATCAGGGTGTCCTCAGGGCAGCACTCTCTCCAGAGGCTCTCGACGAGACTCCGTTCCTTGCCTCTCCCAGCTTCTGGTGGCTGCAGGCATCCTTGGTTTATGGCCACATCACTGCAGTTTCTGCTTCTGTGTCACAGTCCCCCTCTTCTTCCGCGTCTGATGTAAAAATGCCCTCTGCCTCCCTCTTAGAAGGGTTCATAGGACTGCACTTAAGGCCCGGCCAGGTAATCCAGGATAATCTCTCCATCTCAAGATCCTTAATTTAGCCCTGGCCGGTTTGGCTCAGCGGTTGGAGTGTTGGCCTGCGGACCAGAGAGCCCCGGGTTCAGTTTCCGCTAGGCCCTAGCGGCTAGGGGCACATACCAAAAAAAAAAAAAAGATCCTTAATTTAATCACAGCTGCAAACACCTTTTCCCCACATAAGGTAACATTTGCTAGTTCCAGGCACTAGGATTTGATATCTTTGGGGGGCTGTTAGTCACCTACTATAGCCCCCTCCCTACGCCTCATTTTTTAAATCTGTAAAATGGATTTTCTCATCATCCTCGGGCCATAGGTGTCTGAGAATTGGGCACAATTGCACATGAAAGACACCTGCTGAGCACTGGGCCTTGCCCTCCATGCTCAGCAAAATTGACAACAGCACAGTAGGTAGTACAGCTAAAAACAGTTGAATAATGTGAGTTGAAAGTTAATTTATTTTTGTTATAGTTTATTTATTTTTATTATTCGTGTGTTTTGAGCTCGTACTCCTGTTACCAGACTAGTTCTGTGCCTGGGGCTGGCCCTGCCCCGGCAAAGTCCGGGACCTTTTGCGTGACAGGCGACTTCTAGGTTCTTGACCCGTGCAGGAAAAAATTCAAGACGCAAGTTCAGCCCTGGCCAGTATGGCTCAGCGGTTAGAGAGTCGGCCTGCGGACCAGAGAGTCCCGGGGTCAGTTCCCGCTAAGGGCACGTACCTCAGTTGCAGTTTGTCCCTGGCCCCCTTTGGGGTCGTGTGGGTGGTGGCCACTCGATGTGTCTCTCTCACATCGATGTTTCTCTCTCTCTCTTCCTCCCTCTCTCCCTCCCGCTCTATCTGAAGATAAATGCAAAACTGTCCTCGAGTGAGGATAACAACAACAACAACAAAGATGCAAGTTCAGGTGAAAGTGAGAGTGAGTCTGTGAAAGCTTAGGACAGCGAGGCAAAGGAGGAGCCCTTGGAGACACGACGAGGGGCTGCACCCGGAATGAGCTGCCGCTGCCCACTGCTGCCTGGATGCAATCCGATGGGAGCTTAGGATAAAGAAAGCAAAAGTGCACACCTGAGGAGAGGGGCAGGGCATGCTCAGAGAAGAGCAGTAGATGGCATTCTTTGTCCTGAGGGGTTTTATCTATTTTCTATAGGCAGGAATTTTGGGGGAGGTCCCAGGGGAGGATCTCAACGGAATATTCATTAGATTTCTGGGTGTTTTATTTAACATGCTGATATAATTAAAATAGACAAAAAGAAGGGAGAGAGAGAGAGGAACAGCGATGTGAGAGAGGAACATCAATCAGCTGCCTCCTGCGCACCCCCTACTGGGGATCAAGCCTGCAACCTGGGCATGTGCCCTGACTGGGAATCGAACCAGGACCTCTCAGTCCAGGGGACGATGCGCAATCCACTGAGCCACACCAACTGGGCTAAACTCCATTTCTCAATGGGAATTGTTGCAAAATGATCTGCATGGGTCCAGAAGGTTGAAGGAGTATGGTCATTGTTGCAAACCACCTCACCACCATAACCTGGCCCCTTTCTGTGCACAGGTGAACTCCTCCGTGCTGAGCTCAGACTGCCTTGAACGCTGTTCCTCTTCTTCAAGCACGGGCCTGACGTGCCAGGCAGCTGGCTGCCCTCCAGGCCGAATGTGCGATGTCAAAGCTGGGGTCCGGGACTGCTGGATGCCCCCTGGTCTCTGTTCCCTCTCTGTGGGCTCCAATCTCACCACCTTTGATGGAGCCCGCAGTGCCTTGAGCATCCCCGGCATCTACGAGCTCTCTTTCCGCTGCCCAGGAATACAGAAGATCACCCCCTGGTTCCGTGTGCTTGCTGATGTCCACTCCTGCCAAGGCAAAGCCACAGCTGTGAGCCAGGCTCACATCTTCTTCCAGCACGGGCTGGTGACTGTGACCTCCAATAAGGCCGTGTGGGTAAGCCTGGGGATGGGACATGTCTCCCCTGGGCTTTACCTTCCTGTTGCAGTGTCCCTCCATTCCTGGCTGCCCGTCTGTCTTGCTATCTGTTCTCTTTATCCAGGTCTCTGCCTCTGGGTCTCTGCATCTACATTTGTCACAATATCCCAATATTTCAAACGTGTTCTGGCTGAGTTCTTAAGGAGCAAAAACACATGCAAGTAACTTACTAGGTTTTGGGTTTTTTTTTTCATTGGTTTGAGAGAGAGAGAAAGAAATATCTCTTTTTGTCATTCCATTTATTTATGCATCACTGGTTGATTCTTGTATGTGCCCTGACCGGGGATCAAACCCTCAATCTTGGCATATCGGGATGATACTCTAACCAACTGAGCTACCCGGCCAGGACCACTTACTAGTTTTGATGCTCGTATTAATCAAGACTCTTGTTTGCAAGTGACAGAAAGCCCAATTCAAATTGCCTAGGCCTGCATAAGTAGACAGTCCAGGGAGAGAACCTCAGGAGCGGCTGGATCCAGGAGTCCTGGCTGTATTGTCTGGATTTGTACCTTCATCTTTTAGACTTGCTGTTTTCCAAATCAGGTTCATTCTCTGTGATTCCTTGCATTTCCATGACACAGGAACTATTATTATCCTCATTTTACACAGAGGGGAAACTAGGACCCAAGAAGGTGAAGTCATTTACTCGTCACTCAGAGAATGCCTGGGAGATCCAGGCTTGGACCCACCAGCACCCATGTTCTTAACCACTTTGATGGGAATAGGATGCTGGTGCTAACTGTATGGGTACAAGGGACCAAGGTAGATTCCAGCTACAGTGCTCAGTGGGAACTTCCCCTGGACACGGCCAATTACAGGTCGCTGATCCTTCCCTCAGCTGTCCTGCTTTCTCTTAGGGACCCCTTAGATCTATTGTTGTTTGCGTCAAGAATCCATTCCAGCCCTGGCCAGTTTGGCTCAGTTTGGTTAGAGCGTCGGCCTGTGGTCCAGAGAGACCCAGGTTCGGTTCCCGCTAAGGGCACGTACCTCGATTGCAGTTTGTCCCCGGCCCTGGTTGGTCGTGCGGGTGGCAGCCACTCGATGTGTCTCTTTCACATCGATGTTTCTCTCTCTCTCTTCCTCTTCTTCCCACTCTCTCTGAACCAAAAATGGAAAAATGTCCTCGGGAGAGGATAAAAAAAAAAAGAATCCATTCCAGCCCCAGTACCACTCCATCCTACCCCTTGACTTTCTGTCACTTAACAACTGCCTTTGATTTGCCAAGCCCCATGGCTCTTATCATCCCAGTTCCAAATTTCTGCGAGAGCGAATCTGTTTGGCCTAACAGGGCTGATGCTGTCTCATCCTTCATGGCTCATGTGATTGAGCCCAAGACCCAAACACAGATGTCAGGCCACATTGAAGTTCCCAGATGAGCACGGCTCTGTTTCCACGACCTGTTTGTTGGTTACAGAGACATCCACTGGTGTCTTCCAGGTCCAGTGGGAAGATACAGCCCATGCCCCTCACACGCCTCCCCCAGTGGATGGTCTCTGTCCTTGCACTAAAGCATGGCGATGGCCCGAGACTCAGCCCTGTGGGAGCAGGGAGGCTGGAGTTCTCTCTTGAGTGCTACTCTGGACCCATCACTCCTTTTCTCTGGCCATCGGCTTGATCCATACTTCAGGTTCACAGACACCTCCTCCATCAAGAAACAATTCTCTACACAGCCAGCAGATGTTCTAAAACTGTGACACAGACCCGGTCAAATCTGCAGTGGCTTTCCCCGAACAGGGCTCCAAACTCGAGCCACCTCCCTTCCATGGCCTACAAGGCCTTGTGTGACCAGCTCCTTCTGGCCTCTCCAGCCTACTTTCCTACCACTCCCTCCCTCTTTCTGCTAATAGCAGGCCAAGCTGGTTCCCGCCTCAGGCCTTTGCATTTGCTGTTCTCACCGCACAGTGCTCTTCCCCCAGAGGCTCAGCTTGGCTCCTTCCCACCCCCAGGCCTGGGTCCCAGCCCTGCGTCTACCGAGAGGCCTTGCCTGTCCCCTGCAGATGCCCTCACTCTTCGTCCCAGTCTCCATGCTCTTACTCTCTTTCATTCCCTTTAAGGCTTTTGCTTTTTTTTTTTTTTTGTCACTAAAATATGATCCTCAGGTGGGCAGGGATCCTGTCCGTCTGGGTCATTACTTTGTCCCCACATCAGGGCCTGGAACCTAGGGGGTCACCTCTCTTTCTATTTTTCCTACCTCCCTCCCTCCTTCCCACTCTCCATTCCCTCCTTCCTTTCTTCTATCTGTCCACCCCTCTATCTATGCATCCATCCATTCATCCGTCTTTCAGATCCCTCTGCCTATCTGTTCTATCTGTCTACCTCTCTCTTCAATCGTCTGGCAGAAGAAGACTCAGATACCAAAGCATTTTAAAAAAAAGAACTTTTCTTTCAAACAAGGTTCTCTAGGGAGTCTAACTTTAGAAGGATTAACTCATCAACAAAAACAGACAACAGTTATTTAAAGAAAAAAAACTCACAAGGTTACCAGGTTAACTGAGTCCACAGCCTATGGTAGAGAAACAGTAATGTTCTCACATGATCATAATACTTGCAAGGTCATTACTTGGCTTCAGGCATCAGCGCTGGAAAAAAATAGGGGATGAAGTTGCTTTTATTAGGGATCCAGCAGCTTCCAGGGCATGCTCAAGGATTCTTTTATTTTGAAAACTAGAACCACACAGGATGACCCTGGGGTTTGATTGATTGTTTATCTACCTGGTACAAAGTACCCCTTCACCCCTGCCTGCCTCGCAATGCTGTGTGTATGCCTATTTATCCATTGATCCATCTCCATTCATCCACTCTCTAATTTTCTGTCCATCTGTCCAAATCTCCAATTACCTTATGTATCCATCTCTCCATCCTTCCAGGTCTTCATTTCTTTCAACATCTACCTTTCTGCTTTTGCTCCTTTAACTTGTTATCTTGCTTGGGGTCTCCATCCTGGTAACATCTCAGCTCTTCTGTGGCTCTAGCCTCACTTCTTTGTACCCCCTCCCCAAACCAGGTGAATGGTCTCCGAGTCCACATAGTTGATTCCCCAGCTGACGTGTTAACATCTGTGTCCGTGAGTCGGAATCCCGATGGCTCCGTGCTAGTCCAGCAGAAGGCAGGGGTCCAGGTGCAGCTGGGCACCGATGGGCAGCTGAATGTGATGGTCAACAATGACTATGCTGGGACGCTGTGTGGTGCCTGTGGAAACTTTGATGGGGAGCAGGCCAATGATAGGCATGACTCCCAGGAAATTACAACAGTGAAGCACTGGAGAGCACAGGACTTCTCCCCATGGTGAGGATGTAGCATGGAGCCCAGGTTACTTGTGGCCCAGGCTCCTGGGTCCTCGTGAGAACGAAGCAATTGGGGTGGGTGTTCAGTCTGTGAGAGGAAGTGCTAAGTGTCTGTCTCTTGCAGTCATGCCTGATCATCATCCACCGGAAATGACGACTTCAGGACCTGACCCCCCTGGAGGTTGCAATAATTGAAGGATGCACATTGTCACTGCATGTCCCTTCCCTGCTCTCCCCCTGTGCTGAGCTGCTGAGGCTGACTGTGAGAGCACTGAATAAATATCTTAAGCTAAGCTGCATGCCCATGTGTCTCATTCCTGACTATCCTGCCTGCACAGCAGGGATCAGAGGCTGGGGGAACCTGACGCATGATGAATATTTATTGGGGGGTGAGAGGATGGATGGATGGGTGGTGACATAGATGGGTGGGTTGGGGGAGGGATGGATGGGGAGATGGGGAAATGTATGATTACAAGAATGGGAGGATAAAAGATGAATGATTGGATGGAGGGCAGGAGCAGAAAATAAAAAGGGATCAATCGATCTAGCTTTATCATTTCTAACCCCAGCAAGTTAATTTCTCTGTCACTCGGTTTCCTCACATGTCTTAGTCCATTCAGGCTGCTGTAACAAAATACTATAGAATGTATAGTATTATACACAACAGAAATGTATTTCTCAGAGCTCTGGAGGCTGGGAAGTCCAAGGTCAAGGCACCAGAAGATTCGGTGTCTGGTGAGAGCCTGCTTCCTGGCTCATAGATGGCTGTCACCTCATGTGTCCTCACGTGGCAGAAGGACAAGGAAATCTCTGGGGCCTGTTTCATAAAGGCACTAATCTCATTCATGAAGGCACCAGCCTAATGACCTATTCACCTCCCAAAGGCCTCATTTCTAAATACAATCTCATTGGGGATTATGTTCCAACACTCGAACTTTGAATTGTTCTCAGAGTATATTGCTTCTGGGTCCTCTCAGTGGACAGAAGTAGGAAATACATACACACATAAATACAAGTCCAGGAATTCTCGCTGCTACCTCCAATTCCAGCCCAATACCTCAGTGTATTAGCCTTCCCCTTTTCATGTTTAGATCTTCTTCTACAACAGTGAGACACTTGACTTTCAACATCCTCAACATATTTTGTCTTTCACTTAATCCTCCAATACACAGAGTATTTCAGAACTGCTAACCCATGCCACTGTGAACAACAAGCCTCTTAGGTAGAGTTCAGTATTTGTTTGTAATTCTTTTCATCTTTAGACTAAGGGTATATAGCACAGTTCTGTGTTCAAAAGTTCCTTGGGTTAGTCCTTTTTCCCCCTTCAGTGCAATTTGTTATTCATTTGAAATATAATTTGATAACTTATAAACACAGAGCTACTTCATTTGAGATTTTTGTTTTAGTCCTTATAAAAAATGTAACAAATAAAAAAAAAAAGAATTTTGAGGGGACAGAAGCAATCGGTCAGTAGCATCATATTTATTTATTTATTTATTTATTTATTTATTTATTTATTATTATTTTTTATCATCCTCACCCGAGGACATTTTCCCATTCTTTGTTCAGACAGAGTGGGAGGGAGAGAGAGGAACAGAGAGAGAGAGAAACATCGATGTGAAAGGGACACATCGAGTGGTCGCCACCCGCACAACCAACCAGGGCCGGGGACAAACTGCAACCGAGGCACATGCCCTTAGCGGGAACCGAACCCGGGTCTCTCCGGACCGCAGGCCGATGCTCTAACCACTGAGCCAAACCGGCCAGGGCAGTAGCATCATATTTAAAGTAGTACTTGTCACACAGAGTTGGAGTGAGGATTTGATGTGTTCATCCAATCCACAAGGCAAAAATTGGAGTCTCTATTCCCTCCCAAACCTGTCCCCCATCCCAGCCTTAACCATTTTGCCTGTACCGTCCCCATTCCAGCCCTGATTACTCTGTTCTGACTCTGTCTGGGGACAAGTCTGTCTCCCCCACTGGACTGGGGGCTTCAGGAGGGCAGGACTTAGGACTGTTTCAGTCAACACTGTGGCCCTAGCACGAGTTCAGAAGGCACCTACTAATTACTCATTGGAAGCGCCAATTTCAGGTCTGAGGAGCAAGTTGGCACCGGAAACACCTCCAAGCCAGAAGCCCAGATGGTGCCAGGATCCCAGAAAATGGAGCTGGCAACCTTAAATCTGTACTGTACTCTAAATATTTTTGTCCTTTAGGGGGAAAAAAGTTTTAATTGGAAGGCAAACAGAAAAATCCATACATATGTAATATTATCCTGGATTAGAGCCATTTGAATTAAAACACAGCTCCTAGACATCTGGAATCGACTTGGCAGATTTTCCAACTTAATATTTTTTGATTTGTGCCCCTAGCGGAACTGAACCCGGGACTCTCTAGTCCGCAGGCCGACACTCCAACCGCTGAGCCAAACCGGCCAGGACCCAACTTAATATTTAAACGCAATTTTAGGAATGTTTCTATGCTCTGGAACACCTTCCAGAGAACTCAAAACAACATAGGTTCATTCACTTGACAAACATTTACTGAGCATCCACTCTGGGCCAGGCTCTGTTCTAGGTACAGAGAGACACAACAAGGAAGGGCTAGTGGATTCCCTGGAGGTTGTTTGTAACTTCTTGTAGCACTTGTTTTGATTTGTGGAATGAATTTAGGCATGACTATTCATATTATAAAACTACAAAGCACAAAATTCTCAATACTTATGCAGAATCTGCTCACTTTTCACCGGTTCCTCTCACCGCACCCTGATCTTGTTCATCCTTGTCTTCTACCTGATCTATTACAGAAGGCCCCTCCATGGTCTTCCTGTTTCCAGCCCAACTCCCACACTGTTTCCTACATCAGCCAGAGTAACCCTATGTCAGATCACATTTTTGCTGTGTTCAGGACCCTCCTGTAGGTCCACCTCACCCATAGTAAAAGCCAAAGTTCTCACTATGGCCCACAAGGCCCCACACAATTTGTCTTGTTATCTCTCTACATTCATTTCCTTCCACTCTTCCCTGCTTGCTCTTCCCCAACCACACTCCTCAGTTTTTCCAACCCTCCTTACCTTCCTGCCTCAGGGCCTGTGCACTTGCAATGCCCTTTGCCAGGAACTCTTTTCCCCCAGGCCAGAGCTTGCTTCACTCCTCACCTCCTTTAGCTCCTCTGCTCCTCGGACACCCTAAGAAAAATTTTACCCCTCCTCCAACGGTCCCTATCCCCGTGCCCTGCTGTTATTTTCTCCAAAGCATGCATTGCCTTCTAACAGTCAACATGTTTTACTAACTTGTTTGGTGTCTGTTTTCCCATTTGAAAATGAGCTCTAGCCAGGCCCTTGAGGCCCAGCTGGTTGAGCATCCTCCCCTGCACCAAAAGGTGGGGGGGTTAGACTCCTGGTCAGACCACACGCCCAGGGTTGTGGGCTTAATCCCCAGTAGGGGGCGTGCTAGAGGCAGCCAATTTATGTTTCTCACATTGATGTTTCTCTCTCCTTCTCCCTTCCTCTGTCTCTAAAATCAATTAAAAAAACAACACATAAAAATAGAAAAGAGGCCCTGGCCGGTTTGGCTCAGCGGTTAGAGCGTCGGTCTGCGGTCTGGAGAGACCCAGGTTCGGTTCCCGCTAAGGGCACGTACTTCGGTTGCAGTTTGTCCCCGGCCCTGGTTGGTCGTGCGGGTGGCAGCCGCTCGATGTGTCCCTTCACGTCGACGTTTCTCTCACTCTCTCTCTCTTCCTCTCTCTCCCTCCCACTCTATCTGTACAAAAAATGGAAAAAAAAAAAATCCTCAGGTGAGGATAAAAACAACAACAACAAAAAAACACACAACACATAAAAATAGAAAAGAGCCTGGCCGGTGTGGCTCGCTGGCTGAACCTCGATCCATGTACCAAGAGGTCTCCAATTCCATTCCCTCTGGTGGCACGTGCCCAGGTTGTGGGCGGGGTCCGCAGTGGGGGGCATGCAGGAGGCGGCCAATCGACTTCTCCTCGGTGTTTGGGTCTCTCTCTCTCCCTCTCCTTTCCTCTCTCTAGAATCAATAAAGAAACATTTAAGCTCTGTCCAGTTTGGCTCAGCCATTGCAGCATCGGCCTGCGGACCAGAGAGTCGTGGGTTCGGTTCCCGCTAGGGGCAGGTACCAAAAAAAGGGGGGAAAAAAAAGGGAAACATTTTTAAAAAGTTTGTTTTTAATAGAAAAGAAAAGAAAAGGAGTTCCAGGAGGTGAGGAATTGTGTGGCTTGTTCACTGCTGTATTCCCATCACCTAGAAGAGTGGTACAGACGAGTGCAAAGTAAATGCTTTCCTAATGTATAAATGGGAATCCAGAGTCGGTCCACCTTCGTAGGGGTGGGAATGGGTCAGGGAAAGAAAGCTTTTAGATGTAGAGGGGACCACAGGGCGTTAACTAGGACTAGAGAAGAGGAGCAGAAGGCACAGCCCAGGCGAAGGCTTCGGGAAGAGCCCTGATTACTAGGGTGCTCAAACCGGTGAAGAGGGAAGCAGGCAGCATCGCGTACACAGAAACCGCTGCAGAAGCAAAGACAGCGCCTAGCAAGGCCGGGACGTGCTGCGCTCGGGAATCCCCGCCCACAGAGCGCAGAATCCAGCCCGGGCTGAGGCTCCAAGGGGCGGGGCTACGTAGTTGCGACACACGCTGTACGTCGCCGCGCGCGTGCGTCCTTTTCCACGTGCGAAAGCCCGGACTCGTGGGTTTCCGGAGGCTGCAGAATCCTGAGCCGAGCACCTCCGCTCTCGCCATGAAGCCAGGTACAGGGCGAGGTTGGGGTCGGAGGTCAGGGACTGGAGCCCGTTAGGAATTGGCGTGCAGGGCCTTGGCCTGGGGACAGGGGTTCTGAGACCCGGGTCCAGTGTGGGGAGGGAGTCCTGGTTCGGTTTCGTGAGGGAGAGGGTCTTGGTTCTGCCCTATGGGCGATCCCAAGCCTAGGGTTTGGGTCTGGAGGTTTGTCACTGGCTTCGGAGGTCACGGTCGTGTGTCGAGAGTCTTTGGCCTGGGATTGGGGGTCCTGAACTGATACTCGTCTAATTGAGGTCTTCATTAGGTTCTTGGATATTGGACCGGGACGGCAGTCGGTGTTAACTGACCCAGAGCTTAGGTCCAGGCGACCGAGGTTGTGTTCTGTGGGCGTGGATTTGGGGAATCAGTCTTGGTTCGGAGGCATAGATTCTCCGGGACCTGAGTCTAGGAGGCCCCCGTTTGTCGCCGCTGCCCGCATCCCCTTAGCCCCCAAACCACTGTCTTCTCGGAGAGGGCCGGGCAC